TTTTTTTTCGAAAAGCAGCAAGTTCCTCATTTTAATCAGAGATATACATTTTGCACTGTGTATGTCTCCGTTTTTATTGATAACACTTTTGACTATAACAAACCGGTCATTCCAAACCTATCGAACTTTGACATATTTGGCAATGGCTTATCTGCAATGATTAACTAACTTTAATCATGATGTCTGGTATGTCTAGCGGCATTTACCATTCTTAGTTCGGTAGTATGTAATATAAAATAAAAAGATGTGGTATGATTGCCAATGAGACAGCTATCCACAAAAGACTATAGAATACGGAGACGGATTTATACAACTTTTTTTTTGGTTTCCGAATTTCTGTTTCTGTTGTATATTTGTCATTTGTGCACTTTGTTGAATAAAATATTGTTTAAAACTAAAGGAGGATGTATACGACTACAGGTGAATGTGAGACTTTCAACAAGGAGCAAAACCCCTACTCTAGATCTATAGTAAGATATAAAAGTCCAAGAGACAGCAAATGTAAAACAATTCATAAGAAAAAACAAACAGCCTGAACTAATTCATAACGTTAAACGAATGTATGATCTGGTTTCTAAAAAGGTCTCCCATCTTGTTTTCTACTGGAAACTTTCGACGTACACTGTACAACTTATATCTAAGATTGGAGAACGTGCCCTATATGTAGAGATGACTTACATTTTTTTTGTACTTCATACGTTTGTATGGAAAATATATTGCATGATATGAAATCCATCTGAGGATGGATTTTCTATGTGTTAAGTCATTCGGTCCTCTCGATTACATTGTCTTTTTCATCTATCAAGTTTACACTTTACCTGACACCTAATCAGTTTGACCAGTTAAAAGTCAGCATACTTAATTACAAAATAAATGTGACGCCGAGCATCAATTCGCTGCAATCATTATAAAACCCAAAAAACAAAATGATACATGGTGTCAACCTGCTGACAAAAATGGCAGTAACCTAGTTTTGGTCCTATTAATATTACTGTGAAATGAAAAGCCAACTCTCTAGGAAAATTTATCCTAGATAGCTTGGGCTACTTTTTAATAATGATATATATTTTTACATTTCTAGCATTCAATGAGCATTCTTGATGAAAATAAATCATTATCATCAGGCAATGCTTTGAACTCTGCAAATTATGTATGCTTAAGGTGGATCATCTGTATAATTTTCCTCAGATAGAATGTTCTTATACTTTGCCAAAATGTATATTTTACCATGCTTTTTCAAATATGAAATAAAAAGTATGGATCACCGTGCTATTTTTAAAGCTACAAGTCGTGCAAACTTGCCCAAACTTGCTTAAATTATTTGTGAAAAAAAACACTTTTGTAAATAAAAAGCAATCTATGAGATAGAATTTGAAACAAAATATGAGAAGATATGGTCTATAATATGGTTTATGAAAATAAAAGAAACAAGAGTGCACACGCTGAAATGTCTCGCCTACTATACTGATCATTGATTTTATGTTGATAGTCCTACATATAAAGTTTTACTACAAGTATCACATTACAGCTCTTTTCATAATGCTAGTAAGACAAAGGTTTGTTTGACTTGCTTGCTTTGTTTGTATAAATGTTTGCTCAAGCATTGTAATTAAGATTGACGTCTGCAAACAACTCATGATAAGTAGGCGGAGTTAAACCTGTGTATAGGTAAATTTGGTTATTTGATAATGTCCAATCAAATTTAAATATAATGTATACAAGTTTAAATCCGCCTTTTTATGTTGTTTTCAGATGTCAATCTTAATTACAATGCTTGAGCAAACATTGATACAAACAAAGCAAGCAAGCCAAACAAACCTTTGTCTTGCTAGCATTATGAAAAGAGCTGTAACATTTATGGTCCAAGAAAATGAGGTCAAGGTCAGATAAACCAAGCCGGATATACATGTACACCTTTAATACAATCATTCCATACACAGAATATAGATGACCTATTGCTTATAGTATAAAAGAAACAGACCAAACCATGGAAATTCTATACTGACCAATGAACCATGAAAATGAAGTCAAGGTCAGATGAACCCTGCCAGACAGACATGTAAACCTTAAAATCATCCCATGCATCAAATATAGTTGACATATTGCTTAAAGTATCTAAGAAACAAAGTTAACCAGGAAAACTGAACATTGACCAATCAACCATGAAAATGAGGTGAAGGTCAGATGATACCTACCAGACAGACATATACACCTTACAATCATTCCATCCACCAAATATAGTTGACCTATTGCTTAAAGTTTAAGAAAAACAGACCAAAACACAAAAACTTAACATTGAGCAATGAACCGTGAAAATGAGATCAAGGTCAAATAAAACCTGCCAGACTGACATGTACATCGGAAAATATTTCCATACACCAAATATAGTTGACCTACTGCATGCAGTATTAGAAAAACAGACCAAAACACAAAAACTAAACTATGACCACTGAACCATGAAAATGAGGTCAAGGTCAGTTGGACATGTACACCTTACAATCATTACATACACCAAACATAGTAGACCTATTGCTTATAGTATCTGAGATATGGACTTGACCACGAAAACTTAACCTTGTTCACTGATCCATGAAATGAGGTCGAGGTCAAGTGAAAACTGTCTGACAGGTATGAGGACCTTGCAAGGTACGCACATCCCAAATATATATTCCTATTACTCATATCGGATATGTTCCTTATGTCGTAACTTCAATACCCTTCCCTTTTCACGAATGTGACCTACCGAACTAGACTATTTACCGGATTTGTAATAACATGAGCAACACGACGGGTGCCACATGTGGAGCAGGATCTGCTTACCCTTCCGGAGCACCTGAGATCACCCCCAGTTTTTTGTGGGGTTCGTGTTGCTTAGTCTTTAGTTTTCTATGTTGTGTCATCAGTACTATTATTTGTCTGTTTGTCTTTTTATTATTGGCCATGGCGTTGTCAGTTTGTTTTCGATCTGTGAGTTTGACTGTCCCTCTGGTATCTTTCGTCCCTCTTTCATAGTAAGAGAGAAATTAACATTACAAAAAATCTTAACTTTTTTTTTCAAGTAGTCACTGAACCATGAAAATGAGGTCAAGGACAGTGGACATATGATAGACGGAAACTTCATATCATAAGGCATCTATATACAACGTATGAAGCATCCAGGTCTTCTACTTTCTGAAATATTAAGCTTTTAAGAAGTTAGTTAACGCCGCCGCCGGATCACTATCCCTATGTCGAGCTTTCTGTGACAAAAATGATGTCACCGAACTTGTTTTCTTGCTACAAGTAAAAATTGAACATTTCTTTTACATCCCTATAAAAAGATTTAAGCGAGTTATCTCCCCTTAAACTCCTAAGTTGAAAAATTGATTCAAACAAATACAAGTATTTGGTAGTTGTTAAAACCGTCTAAATAATTCAATAAATCACTTATTTTTCTTAGTTCAAGATAAACTGTCTTACACACTAATTGTCAATCTGTCTCAAAATTTGCAGGTTTAAGCAAAGAAGCATACTAAAGTATACTGTATAAATCCTTGAAATAATCATAAATTACTTCAACATTTTAAATTCTAAACTACCTCGTCCATTTTAAAGGAAAAAAAAAAGCAATAACCCTTAACCACTTTCACATTTCAAAACATTTGTTTGGAATGAAAACTTTAAACAAAGATAAGGGAGCTACCATTTGATTTTTATGGGGGGGGGGGGGGGGGGGGGGCTAGGATGAAAAATTTTGTCCTGCCTTTTTATTTTTCCCTCTATTCGGTCCTGCCTTTTAATTTTTCACTCTATTCGGTCCTGCCTTTTTTTTTTTTTTTAGTTAATCCTGACTTTTTTTTTACATAAATTGTCATCCTGCCTTTTTTTTTACTCAAAACTCCCTGTCCTGCCTATTTTTTTCAAATTTCATCCTAGCCCCCCCCCCCCCCCCCCCCCCCCCCCCCCATAAAAATCAAATGGTAGCTCCCTAACTCAGTATAACATTGAGGGTAACTCTGAACAATAAATATCAAAACCATCAAAATCAACTCAACTAAAAGTTTTTCATTTGTTACGTTGTGTTAAAATTTTAAAAGTTTTAGTCAAGTTGTACTTAAATTTTTAATCAAGAAACTAAAGAAATACCCATGTTTAAGGTAACTATTAAGGGCATAACTCTTGAACAGTAAATATCAAAATCATTACACTCGACCTTGACCTGTATGTTATGGTCCATTACATTGTGTTAATGTTTCAAAAGATTTGATCTAGCAGTGTTATCATTCTCATCCAGTAACGAAAGACAACTCAACTTTTAAGTAAGTAAGGGGCATAACTCTTGAACAGTACATGTCAAAAACTTCACACTCTAACTTGACAGTCTTGACCTGTATTTTATGGTCCATCAAATTGTGTTAATGTTTTAAAATAGTTGGTCAAGCAGTATCATCATTATCAACTGAAAAAAACAAAACTTGTGACAGACAAACTGACAAGGACAGACATGAGCATTACTATATACCCCTCCATCTTCGAGATAGGGATATAATATAAGCCTTTAACAGTTTTGAATTTAATGTCCATAAACTAGACAATATATATTTTTTTAGTTACAGTATACAATGGCATGAAGACGGAATGATAACCAATGATTTCTTTTCCATGTATTTTTATTATACATCATTAAATAACAAATACCTGTTTATAACATATTTCAATTAAAATATATCAATGATAAGGCTGAATTCACTGGATTTCAGGGGAAGTAAGGCATTCTATTTCCTTCAAAAAACATCAATATATAATATTTTGTCAATTCATTTTAACTGTATATAAAAATTAATTTTTTAACATGGTGTGAAGGATTGAAGGAATTATTGGTTAAAACATGTTTGTTTTCGTCTTAAATACAACTATCCCAGTGAAAATGTTAAAAACTACTAAAAGTGACACAAATTTCTATGGAATAAAATATTTATTAGACTTCTGAACTTTTCAAGTAACTTTTTTTTAATGGAGGATTAAATCCTCATGGAACATTGCAGTTTTCATTGCCATTATGTTGGTTTTACTAAAGATGATTATAGACACTAAATGTTAGTGTAAATATTACTTAAGTTATTGCAGTGAAACCTTTTGACCTTGCATATAAAGTTTATTTATTGAAATGATTTGATAACTGAATTGTGATTGGACAAGAAGTAATGAGATCCTTTGTCACAGATATCTCATTCTGACCAAAATAACGAAATACATAGAAGGGAAGAAGTAATGAGATCATTTGTTACAGATATCTCATTCTGACCAAAATAACGAAATACATAGAAGGGAAGAAGTAATGAGATCATTTATCACAGATATCTCATTCTGACCAAAATAACGAAATACAAAGAAGGGAAGAAGTAATGAGATCATTTGTTACAGATATCTCATTCTGACCCAAATAACGTGGAAATACAGAGAAGAGAAGAAGTAATGAGATCATTTATCACAGATATCTCATTCTGACCAAAATAACGAAATACAAAGAAGGGAAGAAGTAATGAGATCATTTATCACAGATATCTCATTCTGACCAAAATAACGAAATACAAAGAAGGGAAGAAGTAATGAGATCATTTGTTACAGATATCTCATTCTGACCCAAATAACGTGGAAATACAGAGAAGGGAAGAAGTAATGAGATCATTTATCACAGATATCTCATTCGGACCAAAATAACGATATACAAAGAAGGGAAGAAGTAATGAGATCATTTGTCACAGATACATTATTTGGAGAAGGGAAAAAAGCAGCAATATAACATAAATGAATTGTCAAGGAAGTAATGAGGTCATTTATAACAGACATAGAATTCTGACCAAAATAACAGAAAACATTATTTTAAAAGGGAAGGGAAGAAGGCAGCAAAAACAGATAATAATTGTGACAATCATGAAGGATATCACATTTGTAAGGAAGAAATTAGTATCAATAACATATACATAACAACATATCTTTGTATACTATTTTGTTCAATTATAGTGTTACAATCATGAGGAAAATCACACAATTAATTAAGGAAGAGAACAGTATCTTTTTTGTTCAATTATAGTGTAGCTGCAGACTCATACCTTTTCACATGCAAGACATTTCAAAGTTCAAATTCTGACACTTTTATCATCTTAAAAGATATATATTATTCTTATATAAAATCACATTAAACATCTTATCATCTTATAAAAATTTTTTTTTTTATTATCAAGCTATAGATCACAATCACCTACTTCCTGAGGAGGAGAAGTAATGAGATCATTTACAACTGATGAAGAATTTTGGCCAACAAGTCAACTTGACTGATGAAAACATCTTTTATAAAGAGTTTCAGATAGTTATTTACACTATATAAATACAAATACTCCTGCTTTTACAATTAGAAACGATTAATATGAACTAAAATATTGAAAAATCATAATCTAATAAAGTCAAAATTCAGTGTGTTTTGACAGATATATAATTCTTGTTTCAAAATTTCCTATAGGGAACAAATACAGAGAAGGGAAGAAGGCAGCAAAAGCATCATTACATAAATGAATTTTCATGTGGTAGGAAGGTTATATGAGGTCAATCATTCTGACCAAAATAACAGAATACATTATTGTATTACTACAATAAAAGATATATAATTACTAATTAAGAAATATCTTAGGCTATTATCATATAGTTACAAAATATATAGTGTTTGTATGCAGGTAGACAAAGCTAATTTATTGTTTTATACTGAGATGATCTCTATGACTAAAGATATTGTCAAGGCTATTCTATTAAAATAAATGTGTGATGGATGTTTTATTTTTAAAAATAGGTTCTGGGTCCAATCCTGGCCAATTTATTATTGTGTGGCCATTTGTTTAAATAATTACATTTGTACTCAGAGAAAATATGTCATTCAGGGGTTTGGATTGGAAAACCCTTCAAACCCTCTAACATCCATTTTAATGGAACAATCCTCTGACTTTGTCTACTTGCATACAGGATATACAATTGTACTGTTAGCAAAATAAGTAAATTTTATAGTAGAATAGGAAAACATTATGGAATAGATTGTCACATAGAAACTTTAAAATTCTAGAGAAGAGCTGCAACTTTATAAATTCAGCATATTACAGTTTTAGATTCTATATTTATCTCTGTCGAGATATACTCTAACTTTTATCAAACATGCAAAAGTTTCATATAAATTGCAAGATAATATTATATAAATATTTAATTTTGATATATATATTTAGAATGGTTAATGTATTAAGACATTGATAACTAGGCCATTAACATGAGCTTTCTTCCAAAAGAAGATACTTCTGGAAGACTGGAAGACTGGAAGAAAAATTTCCAACTATGAGCATAATTATAAAACTGACTTGGAAATAGGTTTAAGATACCAGACTGAACAACTTAATTGCACACATTTATAAGAGTTCAACTCAATTAGAATAAACACAAAACTGACAAATTAAAAGATGCAGTTGTTGTTTATATTTGTTATACATTCAATCATAATAAAAATTTTCTTATATCAAAATTCTGGTATTTTACAATTTTACTTTATAACTTTAAGAGCATACAATAATTTCATATCATATTATTTTGATTATTGCAGTGCATCTGTGTGCCCATACATATTTTAATTAAAAATTAATGCACCACAATAATTTGATGAATAAAGAAGTAATGAGGTCTTTTATAACAGACAAAGAATTCTGACCCTAATAACCAAATACATTATTGAGAGACAGGACGAAGGCAGCAAAAACATTATTACATAAATGAAATGTTATGTGAGTGTAAGTTATGAGGTCATTTGTCAGGACGAAGAATTCTGACCAAAATAACAGAATGCATTATTGAGATAGTAAAAACATCATTACAGAAATGAAATGTCAAGTGACAGAAGTAGTGAGAACCTTTCTATCAAACATAGAACTCTGACCAATATGACAGAAAACATTATTCATAGAAGGGAAGAAGGCAGCAAAAACAGATAATAATTGTGACAATCATGAGGAATATCACATGTGTAAGGAAAAAAACTAGTATCAATAATATATACACAAAAATTTACCTTTGTATACTATTTTGTTTAATTATAATGTACCGTGGTAGCTGCAGAATAATACCTTTTTACACACAAGACATTTCAAAGTTCAAATTCTGACACTTTTATTATCTTAAAAGATATATATTATTCTTATATAAAATCACATAACTATCTAACATCTTAATATCTTATAAACAAATATTTTTTTAATATTAAGCTATAGATCACAATGACCTACTAAATGAGGACGAGAAGTAATGAGATCATTTATAACTGATGAAGAATTTTGGCCAACAAGTCAACTTGATTGACGCAAAATATCTGTCAGAAGAGTTGCAGATAGTTTACAGTATATAAAAAATTTTGGGTCACAAATTTGCTTTTATTAAAGTGGTGTACTTTCAAATAGACAAAAAAGTTGATAAATTATGGCAGTATGGTAAGTATTACAATAAGGAATAAAATCACTAATGCATAGCCCAATTGCTTTCTATGTTAAATTCTGCAATTTCAAGCTTTCATAGGTAGTCTGTCTTAAGGATGTACTTAGGTCAGGTTTAGGAATTTTTGTCAGATGTTCGTACTCCTTGGTTTTTAAAATATTTTGCCCCATAACACCCATTTTTCTTTTTATATAAGACTTTTAAAATAGCTCTTAAAAGGTCATTTACCAAAATTTAAGCGGATTCTAGATTTCTTTTCTTTCGATTTGAGACCCAAATAGTACCAATGCAAATATATATGGTAAAAGTTAGAGTCAGCCTTTTCCTGCCATTTTTTAAAAATTAAATATCTTGAAAAGGAGCTCCATTACCTATCAATATTTTAAGCTTATTTTGTTCCTTAACTAATGCTCTTCTGACTTATAATATCAAGTTTTAATTCTAGATTTTTTTTAATTTCACCTAAGTACATCCTTAAGTTTAAATAAAGTGACAGTCATTTCAGTTAAAACCTATACCTTATCCTGTGTTTTTGCTGAAAAAATTATCATACCTTTAATTGCATAAGATCACACTGGTTCCTTAAAGTTTGGTATTAAAAAAAACTGGTAACTCTGATCTGAGCAACAGGCAAAAAATGCCCTACTATTTCAATTTCATACCTTTTTTTTTATTATTCAAAAGAAACTTTCAACAAGTGTTCTACAGTGACCAAAAGTCCCTAAGCTTTCATTTGAAATGAAAATATTTTACTAATATGCAAAGTTATAACTTTTTGCCTAAAATATGTACTACTTTCTTGTATGTTTTTTTCTGACTGGCCCCAAATTAGTGGTTCTATTCCATAAGAATTCAGATGTTACTTATAAGACTGATAGACTATAAGATGCATCACATTGAAGGAAACCAGAACAACTGTTATTGGATACTTTATGCCATGCAGTATTCTTGTATCATGCATTTGTAATAAAATATACTTTCTTGATTGACATTAAGAGTTTTGCATCAATGTTCAAGTAAATAGAGCCTCATTCAAGAAATTCATAAACCTATACATGAAGTAAATTCCTAAAATTATGTTTTTTCTTAAATTTCATTTTCTTTTTATTTTAAAGTGGTGGTTACAGTTACCAACTTTTATTAGACTGAGCATGTGAAAAAGAGGCCACAGAAACTTCATGCTGTTAGAAAGTCTCAGGTTTTGTCCCTTCAAAAAGGACTTACGCCTTTTTGTTCTACATAAATTTTATTGCAATCAATACAAATTTTAAAACTCATAATGGCACACTGAAATTGAAGATTCGATGAAATTAGATATTGGCTTGATGGATATGAATATTTGAATTCTTAGCAAAATATGAAAATTATGCAAAAAGTCCCTTAATTGTATATTTCCTTATTTCAATGAGTAATAAACCTGAAAGATATAGTTTTATGATGTATATGAATCTATGGATGACAAAAAAGGTACTGATTAATAGGAATAATATCACATGTAAATATGTTTTTTTCAGAGAATTTAGTTAACCACAATATACATAACTATTACATAGTATTTTGACCACATTTTACACCTTGATACCATACTTTGTAAGTGTTGACTATTTTTAGACCAAAGACAATATTCTAGGCAAGTAGGGAAACTTTACAGGATTTTTTTAATAAGACCTTAAAACCTTACAAAAACTAATTGTACTTATGGACACAGCTAAATGATTCACATTCATATAAACATAAAATATACAGAACACACCTGTGGTTGAAGGATTTTGTATGGAATTTGTTTTCAAAATTTATATAAAGAATGGAAAAATCAAAAGACTGGCAATATTGAATATCAGATTCATAAAATTAAAAGCTACACATGTAAAATGTTATTCTACCCACAAACAAATAGAACTCTCATAACTTCCATGTTAGATTAAATTAGTCTAAGAATAACTCTTCACTTGGCTTAAGTGAAATCTATCTGTACAAACAAGTTCATCTTGCCTTAGTAAAAATTATCTTTTTATCTATTTCATTTTTTTAAACTTTACATCAGCCATCAACGGGTTGAAAGAATGCTTATTATTTCACAAAGAAGAAAATCGGGAAAACTTTGATTACCTGTTACAGACATAATATAATAATAAAAATTGGTAACTTAACAAAACCTCTTTACTTTTCTATGCCACACACGGAACTTTACAAATAGATAATGAGGCTTGATTATAAGTTAATTGAATTACGTAATAGTTGGTCTTAAATATTTAAACATTACTATGAACATTGAAAACCATAAAATAATGACACTAGAATTCTGTGTGTATTGACATATCTATAATTTATAATGAAATATTTTTTTATGATTAACATATAACTATTGATCAAAATATGGTTACAATCTGCAGCTATCACAGATAACTCTAATAAAACTTGAGTCATTTCATTTTTTTAAACAGATGAGTAAAAAGCAAACTCTTTTCTGATTATTAGAAGCTTATCACACATCACAAATGATTTCATTTTAATTTTTTTTAAAAGACTTTCCAACAGAAAAACTTGTCACCTCTGTGAATTTTCCATAACAAATCTACTGGTATATAAATTTAACAAGTAATTTTTTTTACAATAACCCAGTAGGACAGATTCCAATATTTAACAACAGTTGATACAAGCAAATGCTATGAATTATCATCAATTGTCAATGCTGTGCTGTCTGTTACTGGAACAGGAGATGATGACTGGTTCCCTGTTTCTGTGTCATTTGTCTTCTCACTATTACTGTTCATATCTTTGAAACCTAGTTTTTCTTCTGAAAATAGAAAAATGATTTTCCAAATGTTAAAGATATGAAATATGTATATACCCTTGTTGTCAGAATGACATAAGAACAAACACTCAGCATAGTTTATATCAGATGTATGTTAGTGTTCATTTATGTGTATATTTATGTATGTTTTGAAGAAGACATTACTAAGTTTCAAAACTTGTATCTGATCCATTTGTCTTTAAATGTGGCTCTTCTAACAGCAGTTGGTTAAAATTTCTGACCAGTTGAACAGTTTGATGTGATGAAACAAATTGCAATTTGGTCACAATTTTGAATGAACTGCAGTAGGTGAAGCCTCAGCTACACTAATAATCAAGTCATGGTTATAGCTGCAACAGGTTTTAAGTTTGAGAGTTCATACATTTATAATACAAAAAAAAAATATTATTTCCACTCCTTCAGGCAAAGTTGACATTAGCCAAATTTGGCTATACTTGTTAGGTCCCTTTTGGTCATATGGCACTGAACGTTTCTACAAATTTATACATCCCTGGCTTTTAAACATTTTGGTTTGAGCCTTCCTGTAAAAGTAAGGGAGCTACCATTTGATTTTTATGGGGGGTGGGGGGGGGGGGCTAGGATGAAAAATTTTGTCCAGCATTTTTTTTTAGTTGTAATATCTGTCCTGCCTTTTTATTTTTCATTCTATTCGGTCCTGCCTTTTTTTTTTATTAGTTGATATTCTGACTTTTTTTACATGAATTGTCATCCTCCCTTTTTTTTTTGCCAAGTTGCTCATCCTGCCTTTTTTTTAACTCAAAACTCCTGTCCTGCCTATTTTTTACAAAAATTCATCCTAGCCCCCCCCCCCCCCCCCCCCCAAAATAAATAAAATGGTAGCTCCCTAAATCAAGAAAAACATTTTGGATGAACAAAATTCATAAAGTGTTTATTTAATTTAATCTCTTTTGCAATTTTAAAGAAAGTCCAAAGCAAATATACAAACCTGTTAAATGTATAAAGGCTGTAAATAATCTGTGGCTCAGATTATAGTTGTGATGGTGGAGTTTGAGCTATGGACTTTTTTGTTTTGACTTGTTCTGGATTGCTGGCCTCTTAACATTGGCTGAAGTATTCTTCACCTTGCATTTACAAACCTAAAAACAATGATTTCAAAATAAAGGACTGATCATACATTCAGTGGCCCAGTGGTTTAAGTAGTAGAACTATTGTATCACTAGCCTGTCAACACTGAGATTGTGCGTTTGAATGCTGCATGTAGCAGGTGCACTCGACTCCAATCTTAATTGACTAGCATTGTCAGTTTTCCTACCAAGATTGCTGTTTCTCTCAAGGGACTCCAGCTTCTTCCACCTATAAAAACTGACTGCCACAAAATAATACAATAGTACTGAAAGTAATGTTAAAACACCAATCAATCACTCAATACAATCAGGTATAAACTGACATTTCAGAAAGTACAAGGAATGATGAGATTCTATTTTGGACTTATTCTAATCAAGCCAGGGATTTGTCATTGCCAATGAACTTTTCCTAAGAATTCTACATTTTGTTTTGTAAATTTTGATTAATGAAGTGATAGTACCTGCACTTAATGCTGGAGTAACAGAATTGACACTAATCTGTGATATTGGTGCACTACCATGGATCTGGACTGGATTTGATGCTGTTTGAAGCTGAAAAGAAAAAGTTATTTATATTATTCAAACTAGATACAATAGCTTATGTTGTATCAAAACTCTTCAGAACTTTACTGTGGTTAAATACCTACTGATAGTATGTTTTAATAGACAAAATGCATCATACAATGAGTTTACTACATGTTCATTTTTGTAGTGTATTTGTTCTAAATATACTGAAGTTTTGCCTTTATTCCACTTTTTCATACAAGACAGTTCAATTTTCCAACATCTACATGTAAATTTCCTTTGTCACATATTTGGAAAGTAAATTTTCGAAATTTGCTGCACCTCTTAGCAATCTGATCCTATATACAAGTGTTTGTTTTCATTATAAAACACTCCAGGAAAACAGGTTTTCGGTTTAGTTAATAAATGATTGTTCGTTTGAGTCTTCAACAAATAAGAACTCAAGTGCCATTTTGAGAAACTTAAGCCATTTATACCTTGCAAACTGTAAGAGTTTCATAAACACTGTAGCAAAATCTCATTAAGCTCTCCTCTAGGTGAACCAAAGGGAAGCAATTCATTCAAATTTGATAACATTTAATCAATAAACAAATTCAGCTCTTTGATTCCTTAAAAACTCAAAGTGTAAGAGCAAAAACAAATCCAACTATATGACAATATCAGGTATTTCAATGAGGGAAAATCATCTAACATCAAACCACATAAAAAGTTGATTTTTTAGGTTATCTTTAATATACATGATATAGGTCAGGTTGGTATATTTTTCTTTATAACATGCAAATACCTGTATTGATTGTGTCACCAAGCCTTGTGCTGTGTGGACCATTTGGTATATCATACCACCGGACTTTTATCTGGCCTGGACCTAACTGTGGCATTGACAGGGAGGCTGGAGCTATGTTCTGTCCTAACATCACATTGTTTACCATGGATTACTGTAGATGTTATCATGGTGCTATTGGAACATTCTTTTTACCTGATGGAGGCAGTTATCCAACAGTATCATGTTGAATATTTGCAGAATAATAATATATGCAAGCTACACAATACTACTTTTTCACTCTAAAGGTAATAATGATACATTTAAAAACAAAAATATTTTGAATGCATTTCTTGTAGGATTTTAACATTAACATGATTAAACTGCATGTGTTGAAAGACCTCATTATTTAAAAGTATCAGTTACAAGATTACACTCATGCAATATATCTTGTGACTTGTCCTATTGAACTTGTTTTCAGGCCTCATTTCATAAACTTGCTTACAAAAATAATAATTAATGCAAAGTTGATCAAATTGGTTCACAATATTTATTATTCTTCTTCTTCCTTCCAAATTCTCCAAAGAATAGTTTCCATGGTGATTACTTACTTACCTTGGTTTAGTGTGAAAAAGTTTTAATTTCTGTAACAAATGAAAATTGCTACAGAAATTAAAATTAGTACACATACCACACTTGATCTAGATAAAAAGTACAAGAGGAATTACTCAAAATAAAAACAGGGGAAGTAATTTAACTAATAACTGCAAAATTGAAAGAGGTTCAAGAAAGGAAATTTAATGCATTTTAAAAATTCATACAATGAACCAGATTGAAAGAAAAAGCTTTTAAGTACAATATAGGGCTGTGTGAGAAAAAGCAGTCTTCATTTTCTCCTGGTAACTTTAATGCAGAGAATGACATTTTCATATAGCAGTGAATTGTTTCTGTGCTTATCTATGAGATTAGCAGGCTCTTTTTATTGTGCTTATCTAATGAGATTAACAGGCCCTTTTTATTGTGCTTATCTAATGAGATTAACAGGCCCTTTTTATTGTGCTTATCTAATGAGATTAACAGGCCCTTTTTATTGATTTTTTGTTTATTTTTCTAATTTTGTGTTGTTACACCACAGTTCCAGTTTAGGTGGAAATCATAAATCATGTTTATTAAGACCATCATATTTTGTATGTGCCTGTCCCAAGCCAGGATCTTGTACTCCAGTGATTTTTGTTTGTTGACTTTTGTCATAATTGATATCCAGTTTATGTTGTTATGGAGCAACCATTTAACTTAAAAGGGGGTTGGGGGGGGGGGGGGGGTTATGGTTTTTTGTCTGAGTCAGAAAAAATTTTCATGCACAGCATGAAATTTTTTTTAGTTTTTTGACCCTATCAATCAAATTATTTTTTTCAAAATTTAACACTATAAGGTATGGGGAAAATCTGGATTCAGAATATTTTTTTTTTTGTATTCTGCTTGTCCACAATATTTGTTTGCATCAAATCGGGGATCCGTTCCCTTAGCTTAAAATAACCTGTTACTTTTCTACACTTAATTTCTTCACATTTTGTTATCCTGGGGTCTTTAACAGCTTACTATTAAGTATGGGTTTTGGTCTTTGTTGAAGACAATAAAGTGACCAGTAGTTGCTTTACAGCTGATCTATGTGGTATGGATTAGATGAACCCTTCCACACAACATGAACACCATACAATTATTCCATACACCAAATTTAGTTGACCTGTTGCTTATAGTATCAGACTTAATCATGAAAACTTAACATTGACTAATGAACCATGAAAATAGGGTCAAGGTCAGATGAGAACTGCCAGACAGACATGTACACCAAATATAGTTGACCTATTGCTTATAGCATCTGATTAATGGACAAAACCATGCAAACTTAAAATTGACCAATGAACCATGAAAATAATGACAAGGTCAGATGAAACCTGCCAGACAGACATGTACACCTTTATACCATTCCATACACAAAATATAGTGGCCCCATTGCTTATAGAATCTGAGAAATTGACTAAACTTCAAAAACTCAACAAATGAACCATGGAAATGGGGGCAAGGTCAGATGAATACAGAAACCTGCCAGTCTAACATGAACACCATACCATTATTCCATACACCAAATATAGTTGACCTATTGATTATAGTATCTGAGATACAGACTTGACCATGAAAACATAACCTTGATCACTGATCGATGAAATGAGGTTGAAGTCAAGTGAACTCTGTCTGAAGGACATGTAGACATTGCAAGGAACCTATATATTAAATATAGCTATATATATATAGATCCTATAACTCATAATAAGTGAATAAATAATTCACATGACTAAAAAACTAAACATTTTTTCAACCAGTCGCTAAACCATGAAAATGAGGTCAAGGACAATGGACATATGACAAACAGAAACTTAACACAAACATAACATGAGGCATCTGCATACAAGGTATGAAGCATCCAGGAATTCTACCTTCTGAAATATAAAGCTTTATACAAATAGTTGTCATATGGATAACTCTAAGACCAGACAGAGCTTTTAAATAATGGAAAAAGGTAGTATCCATAATTTAGCCATTGGAAATATTGAAAACTAGTTATAATTCTATATAAACTTTAAAGGAAAAAGTCAGAAAGGGCCAATAATTTTTCCCCAGCAATTTGAAAATCTATCAGACAGTCACAAGACTTTTAATAACTGTGAGTACTCTCACATTGGTACTTTGTGTCTTAAATGTCTTTTTGATAGTTGTTTTTTTTGTGTGTTTTGTGTCGATCTGATGAGTCAAACCTTTTCCAAATGCAGTACCACTAGTTCTTTTAGAACTTAAGTAAGACTATTGCAGTGATTCAAAGATCATGGCAATTTTGAAATATTCCTAATTACTTGTACAAGAAGTTTGAAGATGGAAAAAGAATAATGAACAGACTAATGCCTTATTAATTTCTGAAGGACATTATCTGACATTATTTGACATTTCATAAAACTTTGATTCAAGGGGGACCTTTCATAAAAGTTTACTGAAAAATGGACAAAAGCATGGTCCATTTTTTCGAAAATTTCCTTCAGAAATATCAGCACTTATATTGTCCTACTCGAGCAGTCTGCACCAAAATCTTTTCCAACTATTAGTCCGAAGACCAATAATCTGACATTTTTCTTATGTGTCTAAACAAAATGGCTAACAATGCAGACTACTTAAGGGAGATATTATGTTGGTTTCCTTACATATGTTAATCAGACTTATAAAAAACAGAGTAAATATCAATTTTATATTTTTAATAGTTTTTTTAAGAGATGTTAAGTTAAACATTTTTAAGTTTACCACATATTATCTTAAAACTAATGCAAGGTTAATCAACAATATAATAAGAATAAATTAATGCATGTGATCAAACATGTTAATAATAATATTAATGCATTTCAACTTATCAAATAAAGTATACATGTTTTGATAAATTAAAAGAAAAATATCTAAAGAACAATCAAAAACCTAAAAAAAACAACCTCAAAAACCATGTCCAAAGGAAAGAAGAAGGGTCAAATGGCTGTAAACTTTTTTAAAACTATCCTCCTTTTAAGTGTGTGTTCAAAAATGAACCCAAGATCAAAACTTTATATAAGGTGTTAATGCATCTGAAATGTAACATTTATATCACATGTAGGGTTTTTGTATTGTGCTTTTTGCTGTAGGTGAGATTTAATTAGTTTTAGTTCAAAGATCATATACTGTGGGTTCATTATTATTAGTGGCGTCTTATTCTTCTGGATTTTCCTTGCTACAGAAGAACAACAAATTTAAGTATACAACAAAGTACATATTAAATATAGGGTTGTATGCAGACTTTGGCAAAACCGTGAATTTATATGTTTCCATGAAAAATGAAATTTTTTAACAGTCAAATAAAATTGCATGCACAAAAATAAATAAATCCAAAGTATTTGAGAAAAATGAGCAAATAAATACAAGTCAAAGCACCTGAAATCTTATGGTACACCAAAAATAGTTCTTCATTTGGCAGTCTGAAGAAATGTTTCTGACTGTTCCACTACGATAACTTGTTGTTTTTTTAACTCTTTTTCTATTCGTTTAATATGCATTTCTGTCAAAGATGCATACGGCTGTTCAAGTTCTGATATCTTTTTGTTCTTCATTGGAACAGATGGCTGTTCTAATTGGGCGCCTATATCATGTGACTTTTTGTTCTTTATTTGGACAGATGGCTGTGCTGGTTGGATTGCCTCTTCATGTGACTTTTTGTGCTTCATCAAGCCCCACTGATCAACAAACTTATTTCCACATATAGAACATTCATACGGCTTTTCTCCAGAATGCATTCTTAAATGTCGCTTCAACCCTACACTGGACGTCAGCACTTTATTACAAATCTCGCAAGGGAGATAATCCCCACCATAATGTGTTTTGACGTGTCTTTTCAAGTCACCAGGCATGGAGAAAGCTTTAGAGCAAATATCACACTTATGTGGTTTTTCTCCTTTGTGAGATCTTTCATGTCTAATCAGGCCACTTTCGGCACAGTACCTTCGATTACAAATTTCACATTTGAATTGTTTCACACCTGGTTTCTCGCCATGCACTCTTTCATGTCGTTGAAGGTCACCTTTTGTTCTGAATTTCATTTGACAATCATCACATTTAAATGGTTTTACACCAGTATGGCAGGTAGAGTGTCTGATAAGGTATGTCTTTTTGATGAAGGATATTCCACAAACATCACATTTATATGGTTTTTCAGCATTCTCTGAATGTGTATACAAATGGTTTTGATATGTTTCTTTTATTCTGAATGACTTGCCACAGATTTCACATAAATGTGGCTGTTTAGTGGAATGTCTTTTTATATGACTTGCTAATTTTTTAGGAGTTTTAAATGTTTTATCACACTTTTCACATTGGTATGATTCGTTTTCATGGTTCTTCATATGTTCTTGTAATGTATGAATATAGGTATATACTTTAGAACAGATTTTACATGCAAAAGGTTTTGGCTTCTTGTCTTCAGGACCTTTATTCATTAAGTTTTCTTTGATACTATTTTTTGTTGAATTCCTTGTTTTTGGTCTTTCATATAGAGCTTTCGTTTTCTGAGTCCCTCCATCTTCATTTGACTTTTCTTTATTGTCTTCCACCATTTCAAGGCTGGCCAAGATTTCCTTACATGTTTCATCGTCTAGTTTAAGAGCTGTTTCCATTCGATTAATTTCTTCTTCAGTGATGCTCTGATCAACATCAGAATCTGATTCCTCCATGCTACTTATATTCTCACTATCATCCTCACTCATTTCTTCTGCAGATTCCTTCATTTTCTTTTCATTTTTGGAACCATTGTCATTTTGTTCAGGAATAATTTTGCTTACCTTGTTTTTATAAAATTTATGGACTAATACTTTTGTTAATGGAACCATTTTCATTTCATTCATTATGTTTATTTCCTCTTCTAGTAATTGCCCACTGTGGATTTCCTTTTCTTGTTCTGTTGACTTTTCAATGTTAATTTGTCCATTTTCATCTTGAACTTCTTTCCTTATTTGATCATTTTCTAATGCCTTTTGACTATTTATCACATTTGACCTTTCTGTGACCTCTGACATAGCTGATTTATTAATAGTAACTTCTGGAGATACAGCTTTTGGGCTATATGTTCCAGATAATACAGTTAGTGGTGTTATTACAGTTTCTGAAAGTATTGGTTCACTAACCAAATCTTTTGGACCAGATGTTTTAAAAATGATCTTGGGTAATTTTACTGTAGGAGGAATAACAGCTGTTTCCTTGGATACTGGTACAGTTTGTTCTGGTTCCAAGTAATCATCCTCAGTCATTGTTCCACAACTTCTGTCCTCAATTTGTTTCAGTTTTTCATCCTTTTCTATATTAACTGCATTGTTGCTTTGCTGTGAACAAATATCTTCCTGCAATTCAAGCTGTTCATCTGGATGGTTTTGGAATGTAATAGATTCAGTACTGACTATATTTTCGACACTGCTGACCTTTTGTTCTGAGGTACCATCAGTAAGTATGTACAAATATTTCACACCATTGTCTGAAGTAAGTTCGATAGCAAGCTGCTGAACTTGATCTTCCTGTATTGTTTGTCCCATTGGTAAAACAAACTGATGCTCCACATTATCAATTATACCATCAATAGTTATATGTTGTTGGTTTTCTAATGGAATGTTATTGTTATCCATTTGAGTAAGCTTATAATAATACCATAGGAAGAACTACCTGAAAAAGAAAGTTTTTACTTATGTATTTAATGTTTTACTATTAAAAGGTATTTAATTTTTCTCTAACTTTAACAGAACACTTCTTTGTTCGTCTAATCTAAATAAAATGTCTAGATTTTGAAAAAAGCCCTGGAAAAGATTATTTCGCTTAAACATGTTCAAGTTTGGGAAAAAGTAGCCTCCCCTGCATTTCTAATAAAACTTCTGGGTAGGGAAATTTCAGATTAAAATAAAATAGCTTTGAGTTAGCTGCCTTCTTGTTTTTAAGTATGGATAGTAATGTAAGTGATTGCAAGACAAGCATAGTAGTCATGGTAGTGTTAAGTGATTGTATGACAAGCATAGTAGTCATGGTAGTGTTAAGTACATTGTATATTGCATAAATATAAACTGAATATTCAGTGCAAACAATAAGAAAAAAAAATCCAAATGATACCCATCCACCTGTGGTCTAACATAAAATAATGTTCCCCATGAAATATTGTCCTCCAGACAAAATTTCATATGAAATAGTGTCCGCATTTCATAATGAAATTTTGTCACCTCCTTCTGGACAATATTTCTGTCCATGACAATAATTCACTGTGAAATTATGTCCATCATGTTGTCCATGACAATATTTCACTGTGAAATACTGTCCATTAAAATATTTCTTAATCTAATTATGTCTTCCCTTAATTAGGATTCCTCTGCCAAGAAATTGTGAGTGTTTCTGGATTTTTAAAAATATTTTTCATGAAAAGTATGTGTATAACCATAAATTGCTGCATAACTTAATGAAGCAGGTTTGTTTGTTATTATCAATCAAATAAAACACTTTAATGATATCATTAACCAAAATATTAAATGTCTATAACCCCACTTTCATGACAGAAAATTTCATGACAAACCCATCTATGAAATATTGTCTTAATATTCACAAAATGTAACTTTTGATAACCTCCCTTTACCAAGACAAAATGTCATACTATTCATCTATGAAATATTGTCTGTATATGGAAAAAAATTCATATGGAAATTTGTCCTTCTCTGGACAATATTATGTAGATGGGGACAAAATTTCATGATTAAAGTCATGAAATATTGTCTTGGGGAACAATATTTCATAGGACAATATTTTGCTTTACATCCACAGGAAGACATGTCACCCAGACACATTATTCTGACTCCTAGTCAACCAGTCTTTGCTCTAACTCCTAAATGATGAATTTTAAGTGGAGAAGCAGCAAATACCAATTTTTAAGTCTTTGGTTTTACCAGGTGGGGGTTTAAACCCATGACCTCCCACACTTAAGGCGAGCACACTTCCACAAGACCACTGAGGCGGTTTGATTACAGGGCATATATAATTTGTCGAATCATTTGCATGTATTGTACCAAAATCGATCAAGAAACATTAAACAGATAAAACCATCAACATATACTGGTGTTTACTCTCCGATCTATATTTTATAATGAATACAGAATAAAGATACCTTCAGTGTGGCATATTACATTAACGATGTTTTAGTCGGTGTGTATCTTTTGGCCATCATTGGATCATACTCATAATAACAAGGCAAATTTGATTAGTTTTAAAAAAAACAAACTAAATTGTCCTTTTGATACCGGAAACTTCAATGGATAAATAATAATTGAGTCGGTTGGGTGATAATTTCCGCGTCAGATTGACCCGATCTTCCGTTGAAAAAAAAAAGTTTTTTAACTTGACTGTTCAATGTGATTATATTCATATATATCACCTGCTCTCTTTCTTGTTATCCATATTTCTCTATTGTGACATAATTATTTTAAAACAACTCACATATCTATAAAACCTTCAGCATCTTTTTTGTATTTGACTTACAGTCGTTGGGCATGGACCCCCCTTTCATTCTTTAATTTCCTCAGTTTACAGAGACGGATCTAGTTTTTTTTTAAAGGGGTGTATTCCCTCTAAAATATCGTAAAGGATTCCGCCTGTGATTGCTGCTGACGGTGTTAAGGTGCAATGGTGACTGTAAAACGTGAGTCCATTCTGGGACTAGTCATGCATATGTCAATATATATATGATGTCCCTGGTCCATTTCATAGTAAAATACAAAATTAAAAAAAAAACATTTTTTTTTCAATTTCATTTTTTACATGATAAATATGTAAACCTTCTTGGAAATTATTTAAGTTTGGCAGAAGCTAATCTTCAAGATCAACAAATATCATCTAAAGAAAAAATAAGTCAATCTTCGACTATCAGTAAAATATACTGAAAAATGAAAGAAACATATTTTCAAAATTTTGCTGCAGACATAATCTCATAATCCTATAAAAGCTTCCGCCAAAGTTTCTGTAACTTACGTACTTATACTGCCCGGTATATATGCCATTGACTAGCATCATAGGGCAGTAACAATTCCTTTCAGTTCAGTGCTGTTTCGGTAACTTAAATCTATACAGGATAGAAATGTTGGTCCAGTATGCCGACCCCCTACTTGGAGGGTCAGGAATTTCTGTCAAAGTTTCCTTCCTTTAGATATGTAGCCGACCAAGGTTGACGACCCATTACCTGTCCGTTTTTATTTCAGGATTTCCTTTCTTCTAGACAAATTACATTCCACGCTTAACCGGACTTAGTTTTTGCAGTTAACCAGCAGACACAGTCTGGGGTTAAATATGTTAATTACACATCAATTCATTTGTCAAAGCTTCAAAAAACCCAGACTATATCTACTTATTAACTGCAAAAACTAAGTCCTTTTGTCAGTAAACATACGGAAAATATTTTCAAACTTTTGCTTTAGATACTGTATATTGGTCATGAAAAGCTTCTGTCCAAATTTCATGAAATTTGATACAGGTTTGACAGATATTTTAATGTAAGAAAAAACAAACAGACAGAGAGCTGACATGGGGGTGGTCATTTCCCAAATCCTCCTTTTGGTTTTTTTTTGTATTTTTCTCACCTCCCACTATTTTTCCTTTTTTCCGAAATCTCACTTTTTTACCCCCTATATCCAACATCCCCACTTTTTACCCCTATATTCAACTTCCCCACTTTTAAACCGCCTATATCCCACATCCCAAAAGCGCGTCACCATCTCTCACTAATACTCAAAGTTTCTTTGATTATAAGTTTTTAAACTTTTTATTCTAGTAATATGCAATATCTGTACTATTACTTTTATGCTGTATTTTATTTTCAGTAATCATATACCATGGCATGCAGGTAAAATAAAACTGCAAACCTTTTCAATAAACAATAACAAAGATTTCCTGTGACGGTAGAATTTGTTCTCAAATTAAACTCAGCACGCCACGACCCATAAAGTTCCTTTTTTACCCATCTAGGGAATCAAAGCTTTTTGCCAAGTTTATCAGAGACATATAATACCGTCTCGGGCTTTACGAATGAGTGCATTCTGACTTTCTTTTACGGTACTGCTTGGAAGTTAAGCTGAACGTTTAGAATATCATAGAATCTTTTTTGCGTCCGTCAGGACAACCTCTAATAGAGTGTATACAAGACTGTAGTATTAAAACCCTCCTCCGTCCTTAATCTATATTCGCAAATTGATGGTTCTAGTGTGTAGTGCATAGCACAATTTTCTAGATATTAATTCACATCTTTATTCTGTATTTCTATCTAATACTATATCTGTGTTTTGATGTCAGAATTTGGTAAATCCATAATCAATTGTGTTTGAATGGTTGTAGACATGAAATGAAATGAATCTTTAATGATAGTTTATTCTAGTTGATTTATAAAAGGACAACGTGAGACTCTAGAATCTTGCATTTTAGCAATATAGATGTTCAATGTCTTCGTCTTCATCGTCACAGAGTTTACACAAGGGGACTCGCTTTTAAATCTTTCTATTCCTGTTTTTGTTCCTTTTACGTGCAGAATTAGATATTGATAGCTTAATGTTCCATGGCTGTCAAAGTTTAATAACAACCGGATTTCATCACTCTTTGTATTTTGTATCAGGTGTCATCAAATGTTTTCAATTTAAGTAGAATATATACAACTTTATGACTACTGCATGAAAAGTAAGCATTTCTTGTCAGTACGACTAAACAAGTTAACAGTTGTTGTCACTGCGTTTCCAGTGTGAACGTACGACTAAACAAGTTAACAGTTGTTGTCACTGCGTTTCCAGTGGGAACGCACGATTAAACAAGTTAACAGTTGTCATTGCGTTTCCAGTGGGAAAATTCGCAACTATCAATGAATCTGTCCAATATTTTCTATCATTTGTTATTTTAAGTGAATAGGACTTTTGAAACTACATGTAGTTTACTAAGACCACCAATGACGATGTTCCTTACTCGGTTAGACAGGAATATGAACATGGATGGAAAAAGAAGGTTGTACCTGACATCAGTTCGCTTACTCGCTAAGATATTTCTTTATTTTTTCTGCATGAAAAGGAGAAAAGTCGAGATATAAAAAATTGGGGCATCCGTTTGCTCACGGTAAGTAAAAAAATCGGTAATATCACAATAGATGAAAAGAGGACGGGATTGTTGCTACGACAATAACCACTACAGTATACTTAATATATATAATTATATCCTTCATCAATATACCCCAAAAAGAAAGGAAGAAAGAAGGACCCCCTAAAGTTGCTTCATGAATAAAATCACAAATAAATTTTAAAGATGGTTGTAAAAATTCCTGCAGGTGGAATCACCATTTGTGGTATTGCAAGTCTGTGGTGGAATCATATCTCTATTTGTCTTTTGGTTATTTTTCATCGTTGGGTTCCTGTCTCATTGGCATATATTCCACATCTCCTCTCATTTAGATTGCATCGAAATGTGATAAAATTTACTGCAAGTTTTAAACCTTTTATTAAATCTTTATCTTTGTTGTGAAAGATTTCGTAATGAAAATGTCCACTTTGTTGGTGTCTGATACTTTGTCTAAGATCATGTAGCTATTGACAATATCTTGAGTTAATGTTGATTTTGTGTTCGAGGTCCGTGAAATAGCTGGGCTCACCGATGCAGGACGCGACGTCCATACTGCCATGACGTCCATAGGATGTATCGGCCATACCTTGAAAAGATGTATCGGCCATAGGACAACATCGTCCATACTTTATAAAGTATTGTGATATATTTCAATACATATCTGACAATTGTTATAATTTAAAAAATTTAAATAAATCTTCTAAATTTTTATGGCTCTTGACTCAAGAAAATGTAACTCTTATGGAAAAACTGGGCGGTTATATTTGTGACTGTTTTGAATTAAGGAGATCAGGTATGCATATTGACACTAAGTCAAGTAAATGATTTGAGAATGAATGCATATAATGTAATTTTATTCTTTTATTCACAATATATATGTGGTTTTTGGCTCTGATTCTGACCAATGCTAATATACTAAATATATATTTTCAAGTGACTATTATTGTTGTTGTTACCAATTATGTAAATCAATTGTATCTGATTGTATGCCCTTTATGGGCCCTGTAGTTTGGGAAATAAAAATATTCTATTCTATTCTATTCTATACATGTAACTGGTTATCATAACTTGTAAATGTATTATGCTGTATTTACATTATTTGTCATGTTTTTATATGTTATACACTTGGCCTGAATACGCACTATATATATCATATATAAATGTGCTTTATCTAATAAAATATTTATATGCAGGGGCGGATCCAGGATTTTAGGTTAGGGGGCGCAAACTTAAATTTTCGCCGAGCGGAGCGATGCGAAATTTTTTTTTTGAGGTAAAATAATCGAAATATTCTTATTAAGCTGAGGACAACACATGCTTTGCAAATTTAAGGCGGGCGCACGCCCGCGCCTGAATCTGCCTCTGTTATTTGGATTTTTTTATAATCTGGCGTAGAACCAGATACATATGTATTATATGTCTCTGGTAAACAAAATGAAAAAAATAAAACAAATAAAGATGAATCTCCAAAATAGATTAATTTCTGGCGTACTTAAAACAATATGTTTAGTTTTGAAATATAAAACTAAGTAATCAGATAATGATTAATTTTAAAATTCAAGAAGATTGGTAATTGCTTATTATCATTTCTTTGATGAACATAAGTATTAATTATGCTTTTGTCAAGAAATTGTAAAGGAAATACAAAGCGAGACCACTATAAAATCACAGCACCAGCTTTGTTCAAGCGGATACAAACATACATTTGGTAGTGAAATTCTTGTAACAATACAACTTGGCTGTTTGAGAAGTCTTTTTGAAGTACCGATTTTGCAGCATAAAAGTAGCCAGAAATGTCGTTTGCAATTATGTTATCAGCTCACCTGACCCAAAAGGGTCAAGTGAGCTTTTCTCATAACTTGGCGTCCGTCGTCGTCCGTTAAATTTTACAAAAATCTTCTCCTCTGAAACTACTGGGCCAAATAAATCAAACTTAGCCTAAATCATCCTTAGGGTATCTTGTTTAAAAAATGTATCATATGACCCCGCCCATCAACCAAAATGGCCACCATGGCTAAAAATAGAACATGGGGGTAAAATGCAGTTTTGGGCTTATATCTCTGATACTAAAGCATTTAGAGCAAATCTGACGGGGTAAAAATGTTTATCAGGTCAAGATATATCTGCCCTGAAATTTTCAGACGCATCAGACAACCCGTTGTTAGGTTGCTGGCCCAAAATTGATAATTTTAAGCAAATTTTACAGTTTTTGGTTATTATCAAACCAAAATTGTCAATTGACCCCTTTAGGAGTTATTGCCCTTTAAAGTCAATTTTTCACAATTTTTTGTAAATTTTTGTAGTGTTTTACAAAAATCTTCCTGAAATTACTGGGCCAAGTTAAACCATACTTGGCCTAAATCATCCTTAGGGTATCTAGTTTAAAAAAAAATTATCCAATGACCGTGCCCACCTACCAAGATGGCCACCATGGCTAAAAATTGAACATAAGGGTAAAATGCAGTTTTGGGCTTATATCTCCAAAACTAAAGCATTTGGTTTACTTTCATAAATTGTGACTTGGATGGAGAGTTATCTCATTGATTGGCACTCATACCACATCTTCTTATACCCATTTAGAGCAAATCTAACAGCTGTTAAAATGTTCATCAGGTCAACATGACCAAAATTGTCAATTGACTCCTTAAGGAGTTATTGCCCTTTAAAAAGAGATAAGAAGATGTGAAAGACATCTCAATCAAAAGACATATTAACAAAAACAAGCGAACATACACTGAATGAATAAATTTGACCTATGACACAATGTAAATACAAAATCAATAAAACAAGGGGGTTAGATTTAAAACAATATCAGAAAGACAACCATAACCTTGGACTTTAAAGTCAATTTTTCACTATTTTTCGTAAATTTTTTTAATCTTTTACAAAAATCTTCTCATCTTAATCTACTTGGCCAAATGAAATTAATGGGGTGTGCTAATAATTTCTCCTTGATATGTTCCATTTTCAGAATTATTCAGTGTTACTTTTTCTATAAACCATTATTATATCTTTTCTTTCAGTATACTTATATTGGGTGAATTTTGTAGTATTTTTTTCATGAACAAAGACTAGTCCACAAGTGTCTTGAATTTACGTTATGTTTTTGGATAGTTCTTCTCGGGGTAACATTTATTTTTCCACTCCAGAAATAGCATGTTGTTTTCGTTCGAAAATTCATCTAATAGCACTCCATCTAAATGAATAACAGTGTTATCAAATATTTGATTTTTTCTCTATCATAGTTAGAACTGAAACATTTGTTTAAAAAGTGTTCATCAATTTACCACACAAGAATATCATATATTATATTTTCACACGAATATCATATATTATATTTTTACACGAATATGAAGGAATGTTGCCTCTCTTGTATGTCATTATGCACATGCAATATCTAATTCTGTTCTGGACAATGGTCCATATAATAAATGCAACAACACTTTTAATGTTTAGAAGCATCAATGTGATGGATAAATTATCCTTTATTGATTAACAGAAGAAGAAGAAACAGTCCACAAAAATCTAAGTATTCAGCAACATGAACCCAACTAAAAAACCATGGGGAGAATAAAGGAACAATTCCTGTTCCAGTAGTTGTACCCATCATGTTGCCATGCCAAAGAAGCAGTGCGATGGCATCACCATTGAAATAGAGAGGACAAGCTGGTCTCAAATTTTCAAGTGTTTATTGTTGGTCCACCTTTCAAGGTGAAAAGAGGTTGAGATCTCAAAAAGCAAGTTTAACCCTGTTAAACCAGGACACTGAAAAGTGGTCACTTGTCCTATTCCAATATCAGGGTGCTGATGAGTTGTTTCATGTCCTGTTTTTTTTTTGTTGGTTAATTTGGCGAGTTTGGTGTATATGGTGGATATTTTATGGTATGTTAAAATTCACAATTTGTTTAGAATCACAATTATGAACTGGTAGTGTATAAAATCTGATCTATTCATGAGGACCCTCCAATGTTGACTTTTAGAGGTCTCTAGGCTATTTAAGTCTTTGTGTTGTTTTCTCATTGTTGTTTATCCTACATCTCCCTAAAATCACATTTGAATTATTATATTCTGTTTTATTTAAACTTTGGAGTTATCCAGTTTCATACTATTTTGTTCCATATCAGACCAGTGGTTCAGAGATGATTTTTTTACCTTTACGGCAAATTTCAAATGATGTCAACAGTTTTATAGAATGTCCTTGGAGAAGTTACATATTAAACTCAAGTTGTTAAATTATTTTTTGAGAGTCCAGTAGATAGTTGTCTCATTGTTAATCATACAAATCTTCTAATTTTTATATTGACCAATAAATATAAATCATTTACTGAATAAAAGGTTATGAACTGGTGGCCTTGATCTCAAAATAAATCAAAGATCCCAATTCAGAACTTAAAATCAAACATTGCATTGTGGGACTCCATCATGGTCAAACCTGATCGGAGACATTGTGCCCTGATGTTTCATTTAAAAAGACCTGTGAACTTTAAATATGTTCAAAACCTTACTTAATAGACTAAATTAAATTTTCTTAAAAGTGAACTGGTGATTGGAGGCATTTTTAAAAGCGAACTAAAGTATGCTGGAGCTCGGATTGTATTATTCAGGCAATATTTTGAAATAATTTGTGCCCCTTGGTCTTTAACTTTAATCAAAACTGAGGTTGTGAGTTCGAACCCCCCTCGTGCGGGTGTACTCGACTCCAATCTTAATTGACTAAGATTGTAAGTTTTCCTATCAAAGGTTGGTGGTTTTCTCCGGCTTCCTCCACCAATAAAAACTGGCCGCCACGAAATAGCCCAAAAGTGGTGCTTTAAAGTGGCGTTAAAACACCAAAAATCAAATCAAACTATAACTTTAAGTAGAACAGATAGATTCATACACTATGCACTACTTTCTGCAACGTGTGTAATTTTTAATGAAAAGTTTTTTCTTTACTAGTCATAGTAATATATATACTATCATCATTATTTAGATTAGATATCTGAACATATATGGTAAATAATTTGATAGGATCAAAAGAATGTAAACCTCACTGCACTTTGTTGTGTGTACTCTCAGAAAAACAGGTAGAGAAGACGTTAAAATATAGCTTTCCAACCAGGGGCTGTGGTTTTTTTGGATAGCAATTTGTGCAGACTTTACCTTTCAATCTTACCATTCCTAGCTATCACCATAATGAAAATTTTGTTAAAATGTGATTAAGTACTGCATAGATAATGTTAAAGATTACAAGGCTGAACAAAATAATAATTTATTCAAAAATATCTCTCCTTCATTCAACATCATAACAATAGCATTCTTACAATAAATACTGAAAGCCTGTATCACTTGTAGTGATATCAGGACACATCAATGCTGTTATCCACAACACTTAACATTTGCAAACAAAGAATGGTTAATCAACAATGAATTTATTCCCAAAATATCAGGAAAAAAGGTCAACAATAAAGAGAAAATAAAGCACATTTTTGTTTCACACAATTTTAAGCCTCTTCACTAGCCAAGGGTTACAATCCTCTCCTCTTGAAGGGCAGGGGATAAAATCATAACCCTTTGCTAGGGTGGATGATTTTTAAGATACCAGGGTTAAAAGGAAAAGAGATCAAATGAATAATGGTGGCAGTTTATTCTTGGGCTCTACCTGAGTAGTATTATCAGTGATATAGCTAGGCATAAATGTTAGTTGCTGCTTCCAATTATAAGAAAAATAAAAGGATATCTCTATAAGAGTAGTATTGAGAAGATGTCGATGATCTAGCATACAAACAAAGCTACACCACTGAATGATTTTGTAAATGATCTTATATTGTGTATCATTGGTAAATTATGAAGTATGGTTACTGTAAGGTTTTAATGTGAAATCTTTTTCAATGAGGAAAACAATATGATGTCCCCTTTTACATTTGTACAGAGCCTAAATCAAAACATTAATATTTTCTTTTTTCAGATTTTGGACCTAAATTTCAGAATAATATGTTGCAGAACATTTCCCTCAAATTTTATAAATATTTTTATCATTATATTTATTTATTCTCTCATTTCCAAACATCAAGCAGCAAAAAAAGTGTCAAATACAATTTTAACAGACATGACCCACACTGCCAACTGTACAGTAACATTGGAATGATAGAGAGTCCCTTTCAAACTACATTCACACATGACTTACACCCTTAAAATCTCATAAACATACTGTATATATACAATGATCATCTCAATCAACTTATGAATATTTGTTACTCATGATGATAAGTAGTTGCTGATAATTCATACAGTGAGTGATAAACATAATAGATATCTCTCACCCATTTATTACTCATAAGAGATTCAATAAATTCAAATCAATAACACTTTGGTGCTTTTTTTCCACATTTAATCTCATGGCTAAAATTAATTATAAGCCGTAACTTACTAGTGATTTTTCCAGAAAGATATTTTGAACTAAGCTTTTGGTTATTTTAAGAAACATCAATATGAATATTACAAATGTTACTTCCCCCCCCCCAAATGTAATTCAAGTTAAAAATTAATTTTCATCTTATTTACATAAATACAATCCTCACCACATATCACTGTATATCACATAGTTTGCAATATATCCTTGATTGACTCCAGTGTAATAAATATTAATTCTTTTGCACCATTAACGATGTATATATTAAATTCTTTGAAATATTTATAAATTTTATATTATTAAGATAATAAATCTCTTAAAATAACATTAGTACATGGTTATTAACAGCTAACAAAAAAAAGCACTTTATACCATGAAAAAAATTGTAGCATCTAACAATATTACTGTTAAAACCATGATTTTGAACTCTTGAACAATAAATACACACACTTTTACCAGCTATCAGTACTGCAGATGCAATAGGTAACAATGATCATAAGCTGTTGTACATGACTTCAAAGTCCTATGTATTGCAATTGCAATCAGAACCGTAGACACAAATCTTTACAATATAGCAGAAACAATTGTTACAAGGAGTATTGATAGAACTATTAAGTATCTAGGTAGACAAAATAGATTGAAAAGAAAGGTCCAAGAAAACACCTCCTAAATGTAAAAATTGAAAGAACACTTGAATGAAATATTATTTAGCTTTTCAGTTCTATTTAAATAATATAAATCTACTGGATAAATGGAGCTGGAAAAGTAACAAATAATGTGTAAAATCAAACAAATGTCATAACTGACACATATTTCATACAATAAACATATAAAAATAGTGTTAACCATATGTTCTAATGCTTATGTATACATATACCTCATTCATGATTGGATTTCTGAATGTTTACTAAATGCTGTACATGTATTCTGAATCAATTCAAAGCTCTCTGAGAAAAAAAACCAAATGATTGCTTCATATCAAGCCATTTATATAATCCAATCACATGTTTTACAAATCCAACCATGGATTTCCAAAGTTTTAGGACCCTAAATTACAGTCAACTTCTCCAACTTCTGCTTATTCGGAAAAAAATACAATAACATAATTACTGCACTATTCAGGAGAGAAATAAATAATATCATGTTATATCAAAGGTGACATCTCATCATATTAAGATATAAGGACTTGATCAGTTTAAAATATCAGTATATCAACTAATACGTAAACTACCGATAGATATGTAGTAAGTTTTGGTAATGGGTGAAACATATGACATATTAATCCTTTTTCGGTGCATAATCCTTTGAAGACAAGTGTTCTAAAATTTACAGTTTAAAGGTTTTGTAAGGATTATTTTATTTAAATCATGTCTTACATTCAATTGAAAATTGTATACATCTGAATTCCTTTAACCTCACCTACTCGTCAAAAGAACAATCAGAACTTGACTAATAACATGACATAAATGAAAATTAAAGAAACATAAGCATAAAAATATAGGCTGTTTGGACGTTTACATGAAGCAATATTGAAAGACTTTGATGATTTTCTGCTGGTCTGTTTGAACATTCATGGTCACAGAAAACTGGCTCAAGTGGTCCAAATTAAATGTCAATTAAATATCCTAGGTTCAGCTTGTGTTATAATTCTCCTGGATCATGTTTGGATTTTTCTGTTGTTTCTGCAAATATAAAATGAATGTTTAGCTGAGGATAAATAACATTCATATGGATGAAACATTTAAGACCGCAATAACAAGACAACATTGATGTTGCAGATAGCATTGTCTTATAAGAATGATAAGTTTTTCTCAATCAAAATAGAAAACAAAGAAAAGATGTTAATGATCTTACTTTTCAAATAAAGAAATTATAAACTTTATACATTTGACAGAGTAGGCTTACTGGATGTCATCTTAGTTTCATAACTTTTTGGTCCCAGACAAAAATATTCTTGAAACACAAGTGGATTTCCCAGATTACCCCTTACAGTGACATGTTAATATCCACTTCAATCAGTTGCCAAATCTTGAAACACATTTTCCGTATATGAATAAAATTCAATGATTGTCTCATTATATTGTGTCATTAATATCTGTCCTGCCATTAAGTAGGAGTTGAGATAACAAGAGACTATTCACAAATAGCAATATTGAAGTAGGTTAGTTGAATTATCTCCCTTTTCACAGGAATGACCAGGATTCTATTCATTTACACACATTCTAAGGTAAAGTAATACAACTGTGTGAAATTTCACCAACATCCATTTAGCCATTTAGGAGTAGCGCTAACAAGGTTCAGAGAAAAATGAAAGGACAAAGTAATTCCTATATAAACCACACCAAAATTTAGGTGTACAAAAGGAGGGGGGGTATATTTAAGTCAGCCAGATTCACACTTCTTCAGCATAGGACTGTTACTCATTATTGGCTTTTGAATCAAACAGTTGGATCACCAAATCAATAATTATATTAAAGACAATGAAAACCAAACCAGCCAAGCAGATCAGGTAACAATGACTAACAAGACTGCATTGTACATGGTTGACCAAGGTGAAAAAGCAGATCAAATATAAACCGGTTTGCAACTGTTCTAATATTCCACTAAATAACTACATTGCAACAGACATTTCTAATTCATAAAACATCAAATCACCTTCATCTAAGATAAGCAATGTTTTAGGAAACAAATTACTAGGGCCAGGTACCTGCATGCCCCTTTTGGGTTAATATTCAATGGACCCTTCTAGCATAACTGGATTAGAACTACAAATTACCTGTTATAGTCTCTAATATTATAGATTTTCTTTTAAAACGAGCTACAAAGGAAACAGAAATCTTCAGAAAGAATTTTGTATTCAAGCTATACACGAGACAAGAGACATCACATTTATTATAAAATGCCACATATTTCAGACCAGAGACAAAAAGCACGTCCTTATACTTGTCTATGCATATACACTCATTCCAGGCTTAAAATTTTGTACACCAGACATGGCTTCTGTCTACAAAAGACTCATCAGTGAAGCTCGAATAAAAAGTTAAAAAGTCCAAAATAAGTACGAAGATGAAGACCACTGAGGGCTCATAATTCCATATTATCCAAGAATATGAAGCCCCCTAACAAACTTTTTACACATATGCATTTCACCCTTTAAACCTCTAAACCTTTATCATTAAGCTTTTTTATTTGTCATTTCATAAACAAATTAGTACCAGGTACAAATTATTGGTATGTTACTATTTTGTGTAGGAATACATGTATAAAGACAGAAAGAAGAGAAGACCAAGATTTATACAACAGACATGAAAATTTAGAGACATATTGAAGACAGGAAAACAACACAAAGTACACATAGACAGTTGAGAACACAAAAATGAGACTAAATTCAATATAAACTTTACCTTCTTTATCTTTTTCTGATTTTTCTATATTTTCTGTAAAGACAAAAAAAAAATCACAAAATTAAACAAGAATGTGTCCATAGTACACGGATGCCCCACTTGCACTATCATTTTCTATGTTCAGTGGACCGTGAAATTGATGTAAAAACTCTAATTTGGCATTAAAACTAGAAAGATCATACCATAGGGAACATGTGTACTAAGTTTCAAGTTGATTGGACTTCAACTTCATCACAAACTACCTTGACCAAAAACTTTAACCTGAAGCAGGACAGACGAACGGACGGACGAACGAACAGATGCACAGACCGAAAAACATAATGCCCCTCTACTATCGTAGGTGGGGCATAAAAAAAGAATAACATTCCCTGTTTTTATTTATAAACATTTAAAAATATACTTATACAAGGCTGTGGACAGAAGAAGTAGCACAGTGTATTTCCAAATCCTTTGGATATGTATATCTCCCTTAAATATTTCTTACATATTTATTTTTCAAAGAAATAAAGCTGGTTTTAAAGATAACTACCCATAATAATTTAACGCATTTTTCAAAAGCTTAACTCATTTACTGGAAGACAAATATTATTTTATGAAACATCAGATGTATTATAAGATTTGCAAAATAGAAGACAAAATAGTATGTATTTAAATATCGAAAAATGTGTGAACATAAAGGAAGATCTTTCTCAAAGTTGGAATACAAAACTAAATAGTCATTCTCAAAGTTAATTCCAAAAGTTAGATTGATATCTCAAATTTGGAATACAAACCTTCTTTAGATTCTGTTTTTGTCTTTTCATCTTTTGTTTCTGTTTCTTCACCTTTTGTTTTTGTTTCATCTTTTGTTTCTGTTGATTTATCTATAGGTTCCTCTACTTCTATTTTTGTATCTTTATCCTTCTCTGCTTTATCTGTTTTATTTGTATCAGATTTTGTAGTATTTCCATCTGTTTTTGTTGTATTCGATTTTGGTTTAGGTTTGGGTTTGGGTTTAAAATTTTTTGCTTTATTAATTAAATATTTGACTTCTCTATCTAATGCTTGTAATTTTAATGCTACATCTTCCACTAATAGTTTAGGTTTTTCTGAATCTGGTGTTTTCTTCTGTTCTTCTACCATATCATCTCTCCATTTCTACAAATTAATACAATTGAAAGATTACAATACAACAGCAATTTGTTTATGCTTGAGCATAGGCCTGAGTTACCATTTCTGTTCAGAAAATCCCCTCAATTTTACAACCAAACCAAAACAGAAATAACTTTTTAATGATTTTTTAAACCCTTATTTGTTAAACTAAATGCCTAATTAAAACGTATGTTATACTAATTCAGAGAAAAAAAGTTAAAAAGATATGATAAAAAATTCTGCGACGATAATATTGGAAAGATGTGAACATTTAGATATATTATATCTAATAGCACTAAGGTCTAATTACCTTTGTATCTGTTATCAGTTTTTCTAAAGTTGTAATTTCTACATCGGTAAATATTCGGTCTTCTTCAACAACAGTAAAGTTTTTAACGGACTTCAGGAAATATTTAGTATGATTCAACATATCTTTCAAAGCCTTTAAAGCCTTTGGTCTTTCTTCGAATTCATACACACGGGCCTTCAATTCTTTGATTTCTTTTTTTAAGGATTTCAACTTGTCTTGATAAATCTGAAAATTCAATAATATAAGAAATTTCATAAAATAAATCAAAATAAAGTTCATGTATTTATTGACCTCTTAAGATCTAAATAATGAGAAACTACTCTTGTGCTGTGTCTTATCAAAACCAATATATCTATACAATGACAGAAGCTGATCAAAACCAATATATCTATACAATGACAGAAGCTGACATACATTAAATCAATTACATCTTTCCTGACACAAAGAGAAATATTAAAAACTTGTAAATCTCTTGCAAGCCTTTTCCAAAATGAGCAGTCTATAACTCATTACAACAATGTAAACTAAAGTAGTATGTATTATCAACAATCTTACTAATAATCACATGTTATAAGTCAAAGTTCATCATAAATCAAATTTTACCTCAGCTTTGGCATCTTCCTCCTGATCATACATCCAGTCAGACGCCTCAGACATAAGTTTACTAAGCTTTTCTCTTTCAGCTTCTGTTGAACATTTTTCATACACTTCTTGTGTTAACTTGTCATTCATATCAAATATAAATGCTTCCAAATCATTCTTTGACTTCTCTAAAAGTTTCTTTTCTTTGTCTTTTGCAGTTAATTCTGCTAATCTGTAAATAATTTTTTTAAATCTTTAATATTTTACTTAGTTCATATACCCGACAACAAATGAAAAAATATTGCAACAGAAAAACCAACTATGCTTTTACATTTGATGATCCTTTTTAATTTCCTTTGATTATTGTGTTCTAAATTGTTAACACATTGTTGGCTTCCAGACTTTGGATTTGGGGTATGCCAGGAGAAGATTATTCTTGGCCTTGGGGTCGTAAAAATTACGAGTAGGATTATCATACTCAGACAAAGATTTAATCCAATCAAAATACTGGATTTGGTGTTTCAAGCACATATTTTGTACTGAGTTAAAGTTTTATGACCGAGAGCTCAGGAAAAAAAACGTAAACATGGAAATCAAATACTTTTTTGTATTGTTTGGTTTTGTTTGTTCTCCAGAATCTGATGAACTGTGGGTACTATTTCATAAAACCGAATGTGATGATATAAATCCCCCGCTTACAGAATTACTGAAGGATTTAATCATTTTTCCTTGAAAGTATGTCATCTGGTAAAAAAAAAAATAACTGAAATACAATGTCTTGCATGGCCTTATATACTTGATCCAATAAAAAAAAATCAATCTGTTATTTCAAAGAACTTTCAAAACTTATAACTTCACCAGATATTACCTGGATTACCCGTTTTACCAATGGCGGTGTAAAAAAATATAATCGACAAGTTCTTGCCTTATCAATTAAGTAATCAACTGTTTTTACAAAATTTCATGTCTAATGTTCAACATTTTGTTGTGTAATTTCATAAAGTTTTTTTTATATCTACACAACATTTTTTTAATGCTTTCAAACATCAGACAAGTTTTTAATTTAAGCATTTTTTTGAACTTATCACTGATGCGTCTGATAAACCAAGATAACCAAGAATGAAAAATATTGCAACTATACTTTAATAAAATGATCCGCTGGGCGCACCTTGATACGACCGCAGAGGTCGAACCCTGAACAGTTGGGGCAAGTATGGACACAACATTCAAGCTTGATACAGCTCTGAATTTGGATTGTGATTAAATATTTGACACAGCATAGGTTTCTGACACAGAATGAATGTGGTCTAAGAACTTAAAAATTTTAAATTGGACATTCACCTATTATGGTCAAATATCCAAAATCTAAATACATGGTTAGATTCAGCATATCAAAGAACCCCAAGAATTCAATTTTTGATGAAATCAAACAAAGTTTAATTTTGGACCCTTTTGACCTCAATGTGGACAAAGTTGATAACGGGGCCCAAAAATCAAAAATCTAAATACATGGTTAGATTCAGCATATCAAAGAACCCCATATATTCAATTTTTGTTGAAATCAAACAAAGTTTAATTTTGGACCCCGATTTGGACCAACTTGAAAACTGGGCCCATAATCAAAAATCTAAATACATGTTTAGATTCAGCATATCAAAGAACCCTAAGAATTCAATTTTTGTTAAAATCAAACTTAGTTTAATTTTGGACCCTTTGGACCTTAATGTAGACCAATTTGAAAACAGAACCAATAAACTGCTTCGCTGAGCGCAGCTGGATACGCCCGCAGAGGTCCAACCCTGAACAGCTGGGGCAAAAATGGACACAATATTCAAGCTTGATACAGGTCTGAATTTGGATTGTAATTAAATATTTGACATATTATAGGTTTCTGAATAAATGTAGTCAAAGAACTTGAAATTGGTTATATGAATTGAATTTATATTCAATTAAAGATTTCTTGCTGTTGTGCAATACACTATGTTGTTGCGCAATACTTAGTAAATTTGTTGTCAGACTATTAACAAATAAAATTTATAAAATTCTAAAGGGAGCTTACATCAATAGATATAAACAATTCACCAAAGTTTCATAAGAATTGCTGAAAGAATTTTTGAGTTATTGTCTGAAAACTGGAAAGTCCCCCCTTTTTTAATGAATAAAACCCCATAACTTGGAAATGTAAAATCTAACACTTATAAAATTCTAAAGGGAGCTTACACCAATAGATATCAACAATTCATCAAAGTTTCATGAGAACTGCTGAAAGCATTTTTGAGTTATTGTCCCAAAACTGGAAAATCCCCCTTTTTTTTATGAATAAAACCCAGTAACTTGAAAACGTAAAATCTAAAATTTATAAAAATCAAAAGGAAGCTCATGTCAATAGATATAAACAATTAACTAAAATTTCTTGCAAGTTGGTGAAAGCATTCTTGAGTAATTGTCCGAAAATTGGAAAATCCCCCTTTTTTTAATGAATAAAACCCCATAACTCGGAAACGTAAAATCTAAAATTTATAAAAAACGAAAGGGAGCTCGCGTCAATAGATATAAATAATTCACCAAAGTTTTATGCAAATTGGTTAAAGCGTTTTTGAGTTAATGTCCGACATGTTGACGACGGACGGACAAACGGACGGACAGACGGACAAGGGTATACCATAATACGTCCCGTAAACGGGCGTATAAAAATTAAGAATCTAAATACACAGTTAGATTCGGCATATCAAAGGACCCCAATAATTCAATTTTTGATGAAATCAAACAAAGTTTAATTTTGGACACTTTAGACCTCGATGTGGACCAATTTAAAAAACGGGGACCAAAATCCAAAAACTTAATACACGGTTAGATTCAGCATATTAAAGAACCCCAAGAATTCAAGAATAAAACCCCATTGAAATTGGTCAAGAAATAAGCAATTTATACGAAGTATCTTCTTTTGCACAATACTGTGCAATTGAATATTTCTTGCTATTGCGCAATACTGCACAATTGACAATTTCTTGCTATTGTGCAATATTGTGCTATTGGATATTTCTTGCTATTGCGCAATACTGTGCAATTGAAGATTTCTTGCTATTGCGCAATACTGTGCAATTGAAGATTTCTTGCTATTGTGCAATACTGTGCAATTGAAAATTTCTTGCTATTGCACAATACTTATTATATAATAATTTACACATCCTGTTTGGTGTGTATCTCCTACATATCATTATTATTTGCTTTTAAATATAAATCAGAAATAACCAACTTAAAATGGAAAATTTTAACAGAAAAAAAAAAGGAAAAAAAAAAAGAGATCCATACACTTGAACACAAGTTATTGTCTGGAAACTAGAAAAATGTGTTTTTTGGCCCCTTTTTGGCCCCCAATTCCTAAACGTTTCGGGCAATTACCCCCAAACTCAATTCCAGCTTTCCCTTTGTGATATGGAACCTTGTAGTACAATTTCAGAAATATCCAAACACTTACAGACAAGTTATTGTCATGAACTAGAAAAATGCTTGTTTTTTGCCCCTTTTTTGGCCCCTAATTCCTAAAATTTTGAGGCAATTACCCCCAAAATCAATCTCAGCATTCCCTGTGTGATATGGAACCTTGTGGTACAATTTCAGAAAGATCCATACACTTGAACACAAGTTATTGTCATAAAACTAGAAAAATGCTTATTTTTGGCCCCTTATTCCTAAACGTTTCAGGCAATTACCCCCAAACTCAATTCCAGCTTTCCCTTTATGATATGGAAGCTTGTAATACAATTTCAGAAAGATCCATACACTTTCACACAAGTTATTGTCATAAAACTAGAAAAATGCTTGTTTTTTGCCCCTTTTTTGGCCCCTAATTCCTAATATTTTGAGGCAATTACCCCCAAAATCAATCCCAGCATTCCCTTAGTGATATGGAACCTTGTGGTACAATGTCAGAGAGATCCATACACTAACACACAAGTAATGTCTGGAAGTTACAAAAATGCTTATTTTTGGCCCCTTTTTGTCCCCTAATTCCTTAACTGTTGGTACCATAACCCCCAAAATCAATCCCAACCTTCCTTTTGTGGTATTGAACCTTATGGTAAAATTTCATAGAGATCCATTCACTTAAACTAAAGTTAGAGTGCGAAAACCAATGTGTCTTCGGACGACGCAGGACGACGCCAACGTCATACCAATATACGACCGCAAAATTTTTTGCGGTCGTATAATAAATGTGAGGGTTTTGAACATTTAACACATTGCCACGGAATAGAAGTTCCTTCATAATATAAGTTCCAAAAGGAAAAAATATTCTGGAATATTATTTCCACAGGAATAAATATTACAGTAAATGTTCCTAACGGAATAAATGGTATAGAATATTCGTTCCAACAGGAATAGATATTATGACATTGTTTATAAAGTTTCCAGTGGAACTTCTGCTAGGCAGAACAAATATACGTTAACACACTCCTACACCCCTCTGTACTTACTTTTTCCTCATAACTTTCATTAAGTCTTTGTTCACTTCTGGGATATCAAAAGATTCTATCTTTGTATCTATTTTCTCCCTGACAACTGTTACATTTGGCTTTTTCTCCTACAAATATGAAAAAGATATGAAGATTAAGATCAAAAAAATTTTCCTCATTTGGAATTACATAAACAAAATTCCCATTGTCATATAAAAGGCACATCTGAAAGCAAGTGATGAATGTCATTTCCAGAACTCAAAACGGCAACTTTCAATTGATTGATTGATTTTTAGTGTTTAACGCCACTTTCAACACTATTGGCTATTTTGTAGAGGTCAATTTTCATTAGTGGAGGAAGCAAAACTTTTATATGGTGTAAAATGTTAATCTTTCAATAGAAAGTACAAGTTGGTGTCTCTCCTTTTCTTTAACTAATCTGGATCACTTCTCAACATATTACCTTTAAATCAGCTTCAGTTTTATTTTGAGAATCAGTTCCATTAAGTTTATCGGTGGCATCATCAGTCTTGTTTTCACTTTTTTCTTCTTCTTTCCCTTTCTCTGTCTTTTCTTTCTTTGTTTCATCTGTTTTCTCTTCTGTCTTGTCTGATTTTTTATTACTTTTATCCTCCTCATCTGCTGGTACCTACCATCACAAAAGACATTTATTAAAATAAAGTTCTAAAAACCTACCACTAAAAAAATATATTTCTTACAATAAAGTTCTGAAACCTACCAGTTAAGACATCTAATTCATTACTTACCTTTATTCAAACCAAACCTGCATTACTGAAAATTTGAGATTTGTTTATTCACAAAATTTAACTTACAATCTAAGATTTTATGCAACTTTCAGTGACTAAAATCATGGTTCGAAAACTTTATCCTATTTTTTTCAGTTTAAAAGAATTTGTGGATTTATATATATCTGAACTAGAGGATTTCATTTTACCAATACTAGCCAATAGATAAGATATTTTAACACTTTGGAAAAGGAACTCTCCATTTGTAAGAAAGCCATATTATAATCTATTCCTTGGGATATATTGTATAACATATCTAAGGAAAGCATTCTGAGAAAACATTGTTTTGTCCTTATTTTAGAAACCTGCTTTAACTTGAATTTCTAGTACTTTATCATCAATTCTGCAATAAATAGATATTTGACATTAAAATCTTCAACTCTGTACTTCACTTGATTGATTAAATGATTTAGGAATGTCCTAGTCAGTCACCTGATTATAACACAGTGTTTGAACACTTACAAATATATCAAACATTTTGTTGGCTTATGCTGACTTGTCTTATTTAAATTTCACATTTGAGAAAATGGAAAACCTTTATTATCATACTTAAATTTTCTTTTCATGAACAAAACATTGAAACAGATTCTGACACAGAGGTGCATGCTAATAACACATTAAAACAAAACCAACATTAACATAGCAATGAATTCATAGCTCCACATAAACTCAGGTTTTAAAATGTATTTGAGCTAATTTCCTAATGATTATAGATTAAGACTGGTTGGCTTGCTTGCTATGTTTGTATAAATGATTGCTCAAGCATTGTAATTAAGATTGACATCTGCAAATAATATAAGTAGGCGGAGTTAAACCTGTATATAGTTAAATTTGATTATTTGACAATGTCCAATCAAATCTAAATGTATACAGGTTTGACTCTGCCTATTTATATTGTTTGCAGATGTCAATCTCAATTACAATGCTTGAGCAACCATTCATACAAACAAAGCAAGCAAGCCAACCAAAGTCTTAATCTACAAGCATTAGGAAATTAGCTCTAATTCAATCATTATAAAGTTCTTTGAGGATAAAAGAGTGGGAACACATACAGAACAAACCTATCACCTTCCACCCAGATATAAAGATTGTTGCATTTTAGGTTAGCATAACAAATTTGATTGATTATAAGTTTTTGCTTTATGCGGCATCAGCATACCAAGTGAGAAAACTTAACACTAATTCAGTAAATATGAGGGACACGAAATATCTTTTGTAACATAAATACTGATAACGATCACTCATTTTCAATATCTGGCAATTCAGATTAAATGTTCATCTTTTTAGGTTAGGGCTATTCCATTAAAATGTATGTGGGAGGGTAGGAAGGGAAGTTTAATTATTGAATGTGGGTCATGGGTCTTTTTTCAGTATGCATCTATTACCATTATGCAAAGTTATCTAAAAAATGGTTCTTGGTTGTAGGGATATTTTGATAGTCCCTTCCTACCCTCCCACATACATTTTAATGGAACAGCCCTTATATTCTTTGATAAAAATAAAAATGCAACAAACTTAAAACATGACTACTGTTAAATAATGCCTTATGATTGAGAACCTCAGATTGTTTCTCTTTTTTGTCTTTATCTCCATTTTCTCTTTGTTTTTTCTCCTCCTGTTTTTCCTGGTTGGATTCAGTTTGATCTGGTTTTGCTTCCTCACTTTCAGCCTCTTTATCAGAATTTTCACCCTTCATGTGAAAGTGAACATGCAATAAGTGTTAGTCCAAATCACCCAAAAAAGTGTCAGTAGTAAATAATAAAAATAAAATAAATACAGATGCTTTGTATAATAAATCATGCCAACGAGTAAATAAAAAAGAACAGATTTTGAAACATCAAACAATATAACTAACACTACAGAGACAACACTTTTCACTGGTTCTTTAACTCATTTTATTTCATGTATGAAAAACAAAAATAAAGAAAAAATTTCTGTTTCTCTGGTATGCTTGCAAAATTGAAAAATAAAAGAAAGTACACAACAGAAAACAGAACAAGAGGCTCCTTAGAGCCTGAATCCCTCACCTGGCAAAAATACTAAAAATGGGCAAAAATCATCATTTATAGACCTAAATCAAGAATGTTGGAATGTTTGGCACTTTGCCAAAATGTAATTTATATAATGCTTTTGTCAAAAATAGAATAATTAAAAGTATGGGTCACCAAGCTTTTTTCAAGCTCCAGGTTGTGCAAAATAGTCAGATTAAGTGTGGGTTATTCATGGAATAAATTACTTCGCCGAGCGCAGCTGGATACGACCGCAGAGGTCCAACCCTGAACAGTTGGGGAAAAAATTGACACAATATTCATGCTTGATACAGGTCTGAATTTGGATTGAAATTAAATGTTTGACACATAATAGGTTTCTGACACAGAATAACTGTAGTCAAAGAACTTAGAATTGGTTATATGATTTGAATTTATATTCAATTTTTTGCTTTTGTGCAATTCACTATGCTGTTGCGAAACCTTGTGTTTAAATTTCATAGATTTCTATCTACTAATACTAAAGTTATTGTCCAGAAACCAAGTGTCTTCGGACGACTATGACGTGATACCAATATACGACCACAAAATTGTTTTGCGGTCGTATAAAAAGCACTTTAGAAAGAAAATCAAATGATAGATAAATTAAAATAATAATATCAGAAGATAGCTCTTATAATGTGCTTTCAGAAAATAAAAATTTGGGTCACCATACTTGTTTTCTTGCTAATGGTTGCAAATGATGCCTTAGATTTTTACTCATATAAGCAAATTTGCATGCAGAAATTCAAATTGTGTTTTCAACTTTTCAATCAAAAAAAGAAATTCTAATGATTTGATAACAAGTAATTTAGGTCATCTACCTTAAGGGCAATAACTTCTATAAGGAGTCAATTGACAATTTCGGTTATTCTGACTTATTTTTAAATCTAATCTTGCAGATCAAGTTTGCTGTTTACAATTTCTCTCTACCTATCATAGTTTATCAAGATAATTGCTTAAAAAGCAAGAAAAGAGTAAAAAAACAAACATCAACATTAAAGGGCAATAACTCCTATTAAGAGTCATCTGATAATTTTATTATGGTTTTCAAGATTATAGACTGAAGATTTTTCCTTATGTTCTATTTTCAAAATGGCTGCCCTGTTGGTTGATTGATAGGAACAAAAAACACACTTTATACTAGATACCATTGAGTTCATTCATTTCAAAAAGATTTTAAAATTTTTTTCCAATGATGGATGCCAATTGACGACAGTAGCTCAAGAGCTAAAAAGCATAGAAAAAAATCCAGTCAGTGTTACCTCAACTGGTTTTTCTCCTGTCTCTTCTATCGTCTCTCCTTCCTCCTTTTTACCACCAAATAGTCCACCCAGAGTATTTCCTAATTCTAAAAAAAGATCAATAAGATATTTGGATATGCAACTACAAACAAACCTCCTACTTCTGTTTTCAGAAATGATTATTACAATTCTATTTAGTTTCCTTTAGAAATATAAAATTACAAATGCATCTTTATGGAATATACTAGCTTTAAAATATGACAATTTGTAAAATACTTGGGACAGTACTTTGGATTCCCAGTCAAAATCAGTCTTAATTCAACAATCCATTTGTAAAAAGCTAAGGTTTAATATCTATTTCAACACTTACCATAACCTAAAATAATTAATATGGGTGTATGAGGGGAAAAAATTGATGTAAAGAGTGTTCCTAAATCTGCTTTATTAGTAATATGTAGCATTGTTTAATAAATGTTGATAAAGATGCTACATCCCTCCCATGTGTGTAGGTTTCTTAATTCAATAGATTACAAGAAATGATTGTAACAGGATGCTGTTACGAAGTCTCCCAAACGAAGCTCCCATAATTCGTAATTCCCAGGGTCACCTGACATTGGGCAACGTCCAGTGAAAATTGGTTTGGTCCAGTAAAGTTATATGCATTAGTGATGCCTGGGGACTAATCTTATATATCATTCAAATCATCTTGGCATGACAAACCAGAATATATATGGTTTAGGGGTGGGGATCTCGACCATTTACAAGATACTAGAACATTGGGGGTGGGGAGGCACCCCTGGGGACTGGCCCTATACGTCATTCAAATGTTTATTACATGACGAACAGGAATATATATGGTTTAGGGGTGGGGATCTCAACCATTTACAAGATATTAGAACATTGGGGGTGGGGGAACCCCTGGGGACTGACCGTATATGTCATTCAAATGTTCGAGACATGACAAATAGGAATATATATGGTTTAGGGGTGGGGATCTCAACCATTTACAAGATATTAGAACTTTCTCAAATGGCAGGGGGTCGGGATGACCCCTGGGGACTAACCCTGTGTATCATTCAAACCATCTTCGCATGACAAACCAGAATATATATGGTTTAGGGGTGGGGATCTTGACCACTTACAAGATATTAGAACTTTCTTAAATGGCAGGGGGTGGGGGTGACCCCTGGGGACTAACCCTGTATTTCATTTGATGTGCTTTATCATGACAAACCAGAATATATATGGTTTAGGGGTGGGGATCTCGACCACTTACAAAGATATTAGAACTTTCTTAAATGGCAGGGGGTGGGGGTGACCCCTGGGGACTAACCCTGTATTTCATTTGATGTGCTTTATCATGACAAACCAGAATATAAATGGTTTAGGGATGGGGATCTCGACCACTTAGAAGATATTTGAACTTTCTCAAATGACAGGGGGTCGGGATGACCCCTGGGGACTCACCCTGTATATCATTCAAACTATCTTAGCATGACAAACCAGAATATATATGGTTTAGGGGTGGGGATCTTGACCACTCACAAGATATTAGAACTTTCTTAAATGGCAGGGGGTGGGGGTGACCCCTGGGGACTAATCCTGTATTTCATTTGATGTGCTTTATCATGACAAACCAGAATATATATGGTTTAGGGGTGGGGATCTCGACCATTTACAAGATATTAGAACTTTCTCAAATGGCAGGGGGTCAGGATGACCCCTGGGGACTAACCCTGTATATCATTCAAACCATCTTAGCATGACAAACCAGAATATATATGGTTTAGGGGTGGGGATCCTGACCACTTAGAAGATATTAGAACTTTCTTAAATGGCAGGGGGTGGGGGTGACCCCTGGGGACTAACCCTGTATTACATTTGATGTGCTTTATCATGACAAACCAGAATATATATGGTTTAGGGGTGGGGATCTCGACCATTTACAAGATATTAGAACTTTCTCAAATGGCAGGGGGTCGGGATGACCCCTGGGGACTAACCCTGTATATCATTCAAACCATCTTAACATAACAAACCAGAATATATATGGTTTAGGGGTGGGGATCTCGACCATTTACAAGGTATTAGAACTTTCTTAAATGGCAGGGGGTGGGGGTGACCCCTGGGGACTAACCCTGTATTTCATTTAATGGGCTTTATCATTTAGAACATTTTCAATTAAAAAGATTGTGTCTATCACAAACGGTTTTCAATTTATAATCATTTGAAAATTTAAAAAAATAAAATCCCATAGGGTTCTATAGTAAAACCCTCTTTTCTTTTTGCCCCTCAAAGTACCCCTTTATAAACCCCATTGCACAAACAAAACCCTGATTGCACCACTAGACATGTTAGTCTAACATATTGTGAAACCCTAAGTTAATCTGACAAGCGGTTTTGGAGAACGGGTGCGGACAAGTTCAAATTTAAAAGCAGCGGAAGAAGAAGAAGAAGAAGAAGAAGAAGAAGAAGAAGAAGAAGAAGAAGAAGAAGAATAATAATAATAATAAGAACTGAGCAAAAACAATAAGTCTTCCCAAACTTCGTTTGGGAGACTTAATAATACTTACTTGACCATGTGGATTCTTCTTTTTCTTCTTCCTTTTCAAACACAACTTCTACCTATAAAGCAACATTTTTTATTATTTACAGTGCTGTTTACAGGAACATACAACAATATTATACAGAAGTCTAGAGTAAGTCACAAATGTACATTAAATGTAGTTTTGGAAGTAAAACTGAATATTTTAAAAATATTTTCCTGTATTGCCATTGCTTGTCAGAAGAAACCCCATATCAAAAACATAGGTGTCAACACTCCTGATATTTTGTCGAAATTTCCAGAAAAGTCTGCTCTGGGCAAGTCTTCCTTCTTCCTAAGAGAATACTTCTTACTTATTTTTACAAAAACAGGTACAAAATTTCATGAACATCATGCTGTAAACCGTTGATACATATTCATTTATCCTAAAAAAAAATGACTGGAATAGCATGAAAAACTATCCCAATTATTTACCAATTTTTTTCCAATATTTAATTTCTACCTGATCCAAGTGAAGTATTCCACTTTCATCCAGTCTGAAATGTGCTTTTACTCCTTTACTATCACCAGATTCCTTATGTTTGGTGAAGGCATCTCCTACTCCTGATAGTTTAAACTTAGCAAGGGATGGATCTTGGAATGAACTGGAAAAATATGAGATGGCAATGCAAGTTTTGAGAATTCCTGATGAGGTAAATAAGGAACACGCTTCTGACTCCAGAAATTTTCAAATAATAATTTTATTTTATAGAATTCATTCTTTTTTATTGTTGCATTTATCATTTATAAACATGAACAATACAAAATTGGTATGAATAATTCAAACAGACAGTAAATTTGCATAACATTTACCTATGTCATCTTAAAATTTAAATTTCTACTCCATATCTGATAAATCAAAGGTATTTATTTCTTTGTGATGAATGTTTTCAACAACAATGCCATCAACTCAATTATGAAATGCAAAAGTAGAAAGTTTGATGAAATGCATCTTACCTTTTGTCAAAGTCTGATAGGAAATCAAGATCACCATAACTGACATTGAAATCAAAGTCTTTTAAATGTTTGCTGAAGGTCATGACCTTTTTCTGTGGGTAAGGGTTCATTCTGTTAAACAATGTTCTCTTAACTACCCTTTTACTATCACTGCCATCTTCTGCAAGTTTGTGCTTCTCAAATTCAACCTATGAATAACATATTAAAACGTTCATATGATTTTTACATTTCATGATGATAGAGAAAAATGTAGTACAGGTAAATTTCTCATGTTATAGGTATAAAGATTTTTTTAACCAATTTCAATGTTTTCAAATAACATGCTTGCCATAAGATCTTTAATGTTTAAAGTTCCATTTAATTTTCGACAGCTATAAATAAGTGCATATTCATCTACAAACAAGTAAGAACAAGATGTGACAATACAACACAAATGCAATACTTTTGGCCTTATTCTTAAATATACAATGCTTTTATAAATTACATGAAAAGTCAGGACACCACATTACTATTTGTGCAATATAAGTGAAAATAAAGGGATAATTACAATTTAACACTTTCACGCTTTGTTGATCTGTTTACCTGTATACAAGATTATTGGCACGTGCTAGCAAACAACAAATGTACCTGTAAATGCCCTGATATCGATTTTATTACCATTACAGTCAAGGAATAAAAATTTTGGCGCCAGAAATATCTCAAGAAGCTGTATTTTGTTGCCAGATGAAATAAAAATCGCAATTCACAGCATTGGTGAAGCCCAGCGCAGTCCCTGTATCGCAGGATGACAATGACAGACACCAAGTGATGAGAAAAGCTCACCTGGCCCAAATAAATATCATCAAATCAGAACTAATTTCCTTATTAACCTACAATTTTTTTGCATTATTTCCGGAGTGTAACATATATAATTATCAAGTTAAATACATTATGTGAAATCATTTGATAATGAATTGGCTTGCATTAAACCTTAATGGTAAACAAACTTCTATTTCCATGGGTTTTATCGCATTAGCGTCAGCATTTCACGCGATCAATTGCATCATATTTAAATGTTGATTCTAAGTCATCATTAAACACCCAAGTACCCAAATAAAAACCAGCACCATCTGCGCAGACATTACAAAAATTGAACAGGACAGAACAAATTAGGAAATGTAAGTTTAAAACCATAATTCCATCAAAAGTCTCCCAAACTCCATCTGTAAGTTATAATTAAACATTACTGTACCGACGCCCAGTTGCTGATCTTTAGACAATACAAACAAATTAGTCTAGATAAATACAATTTTCAAAGATAAAGGGCTGTTTTTCCCTAAAGTCAGTCATTTGGAACAAAACACTGATGTAAAAATCAGATCAATATCAGCAGGCATAAGGAAAAAAGATACACTTGTAACCCTATAAGTCCTGGTCACTTAGTGGCAGGGGCATACAAATTGAGAAGGCAGTCAGTCTGTTGAAACCATCTTTGGTCCGTCAATCTTGACTGCTTAAATTAACAATTATATATTTATCAGTATTCTTCTGAGTTTTGGAATGTGACTTCAAATGCCTTACATTTGTAACTTATTTTGAATTTTATTAATATTTTGCGCTCTGACAAAAATCTGTTTTAGCAGTGACTAAATACTAATTGCTGGTGAAATCTGATTTTCCGTAAAATTTATTAAAACATAATAATACAATCAAGTCTTTCAAGAATAATTTAAACATTACAAACAATGAATGGTGTCTGTGATATAAATTTAAAACTTACAGTTATAGGATAAATACTAGCTTCCTTCACACCAAATGTTTTGACTTTGAATCCTTTTCCTAGATATGCAGCTTGGTAAACAGCACCCATTGCAGCAGCTTCATCTGTGTTGATACTCTTTCCTAGTTCTGATCTGTAAACAGGAAATATGTCTTTCGTCAGTAAAACTATGTTTCTCAGTGCAAATCTACTTTTCTAAATTTGCTTTGAACTTTTCTCCACTCATAATTTTTGACTTTATTGACATTAAGGATGTTGAGCTGCACTTTCATGCTACTTCATTCAATTTCAGGATTTGTTCTTGTATTTGCCAATTAGCATCTACCCCAGATCATATCTTTTAATCTACAGTATGTTCTAATATGCTTTTGATATAAGAAGAAAAGGCTTAAATATGCATGTTATACTAAATTTGTTCTCACCTTCCGAGATATTTTTTTAGTATTTCTTGTACTTTTGGAATTCTGGTTCCACCTCCCATTAATATAACATCTTTGATTTCTCCCTAGAATGAGACAATGAACTTGTACAGGAAGCTTACAACACATTATCAAGTCAAAGGAATCCATATAATAACTTCCATTGTGATAGCACAAAGACCTGCATGTAGCGACAAATGTCATAGCATAACTTCTGAACTAGCATATAATTATATCTTGGTATGCACCAGACTTGCAGCTAATTATCTGGTTCAAATAGGACTGGCATTCTCTAACATGACCATAATATTACATACAATATGAAAACATTGAATTTATTAAAATAAACTTTACTACATACACACTATCAAATTTCTTCAATTGCTATTCTTAAAAACATTTAACTTCTTCAATACCACAGCTCTCGTAATTTTAATATTAGGACAAAAAGACTTAATTTAAATAACATTATAATGTTAAGGAGTAACCATTGATTTTTACTTGACATGGATTTATAAAATTTTCATTGAATTTTAAGACCATTTTTGTCCTTGATTTTTATTTTGGTAAAAGACAAATCCATATTCAAATTCCTTATCCAGGACCTAATCATGTCTTTAGTGTACCAAGATGTGCAATGATCAGGAATTTATGTAAACTTCATGACACTAAAAGCACTTCTGAATTATTGTTCCAGAAAAAAATTACAATGTAGCAATTGAAGATACTAACACCGTACTCAACTTCTGGATAATTAAATTAATATTCTAGATATCACTAAATATTTGATAGTACATAATAGTTTTTTACAGTAAGTTTTACAAAAACAGCATATATCCAATTTATACTTTATCTTTTTTTAGTGTAAACCACAAATAATGAAAGTTCAATAAACTTCAGGTCAAGAAGGGCGAAATGTAGTTTCTTAGCAATGTGAATTCCGACGAAATTTTCAAATGAAAACAAGACTCAACACACATAGGCTTATATTAGATAGTTGCACCCTTTATTTTTATTTTGGTATATTTCTACGCTTTTTACCAGTGCTTCTGTTTTTTTCTTTTCAATAAATTTTCCTTATCCAGGACCTTATCACAAATTCTTTAGTGTACCAAGATGTGCAATGATCAGGAATTTAATGTTAAATTCATGACACTATAAACATTTCTGAATTATTGTTCCAGAATAAAATTACAATGTAGCAATGGAAGATACTAACACCGTACTCAACTTCTGGATAATTAAAAGGAGTAATACCACCATTTTTTTTCCCTATCAGTCTTTGTTAATCCTTTGACCCCCAAGCCTGCCTGTAGTTGTGATTGCAGGGAGTTCAACCATGCAATTCATGGTCCATAAACTCTTCCCAGATGTGTTTTTAAGAAAATATGACAACCTTAATGCCTTTCTTAAGAGTTCAAAATCGTAAAAATGTGAAAAGTAGCCAAAATCAGGTGGGGTGGAAGTCATTTGATGGCCACTACGGTAATGGTATGGGCAGTAGGTATTAACTATTATCCTAAATACATGCATAGGTGGTACAGGAACACAATAAATGTGGCTTCCATTAACAAAAAGTTCCATTTGGAGCTACTGTGTTTAGAGACCTCTTATGTCAGTATACTATTACTCTATACTCTACAAAAATACTTATACTTTATAATAAATTATGGAAGCAATCATCTGATTTTTTTTCTGGACAGGGATCAATAAATTTTTCAATTAATTAGTGTGACCATTTTTGTCCCTTATTTTTGGTATATAGGTATAATACTATGCATTTTTACCAGTAGCTTTTAACCAAAACTATTTTTTTGTTTCTTAATAAATTTTCCTTCAATATCTATTATATTATAGTGTACCAAGCTGTGCACTGATCAGAAATTTATGTTAAATTCATGACACTCAAAGCACTTCTGAATTATTGTTCCAGAATAAAATTACAATGTAGCAATGATAGATACTAACACCGTACTCAACTTCTGGAAAATCATCATATACATAATTTGATTAAGGGTTTATTCAGACTGAAACCTGATAATTTTTTCATATAAAGTGTAAACTTACCAAAGTTATTTGTGAAACTTTAAGAGCTTCTTCTATTGGTTGTGTGACTTTTTCAAATAAATCTTTGGACAATTCTTCTAATTCTTCTCTTGTTACTTTTGTTTTGAAGTCTATTTCTTCCAATAAGCCTTCAACCTATAAAGCAAAGGACATTTCTTTGAAACGACATCTTAAATACACAACTGTTATTTCCTTTATTCAAGGATCAACTTAACACCTTCCTAAAATAGTTGTTATTTAAAAAGATTGTTTGCAAATGCAAAAACATTGACTAAATAGTGCTCATATTTACTTTTCATGATCAGAAATTCAACTCTGTCCTTTGTAAATGAAATCACACAGTCTCAGTGTTTTCAAGACATCTGGATCAATCACAATGTCAAAAACAAAGACTCTCCAATAATGCAACAAGATTTCTAAATTGGTCCATTTTTTTTAATGTGTGAAAATATTAAATTTCCACATTCCTCTAATGACAAAGATAACTGTGATAAATATCAGGATAAACTACAACATGTACAATTAATAAAATTATATCTATACTACTAAAATAACGAGGTCCAATTTGTTAGCCAGCATGACGTAATAATTCAGCAATTTTTCCATTTGTAAAGGGGCATAACTCTAGAACGGTAAAAGTGACACCACCAAAATTCAAACTTGACCTGTGATTTGTGGTCATAAGCATTGTGTATAAATTTCATAACATTTGGTTCAGGCAAACTAAAGTGAGAGAACGGAAACGAAAAATTCAGCAATTTTTCCATTTGTAAAGGGGCATAACTCTAGAACGGTAAAAGTGACGCCACCAAAATTCAAACTTGATCTGTGTTTTGTGGTAAGGGCTATTCCATTAAAATGTATGTGGGAGGGTAGGAAGGGACTTTCAAAATATTCCTACAGCCAAGAACAATTTTTTAGATAATTTTGTATAATGGTAACAGATGCATACTGAATAAAATGCTTCGCTGAGCGCAGCCTGATACGACCTCTGAAGTCGAACCCTGAACAGTTGGTACAAATTTGGACACAATATTCAAGCTTGATAGTCTGAATTTGGATTGTGATCAAATTTTGACATAATATAGATTTCTGACACAAAATAAATGTGGTCAAAGATCTTAAAAATCTATTGCACAATACTGTGCAATTGAAGATTTCTTCTTGAAACTTTTCAAAAATTCAAAATTTTTCAAAAAAATTATGAATCCTCTAAAAATATGGGAAAAAAAATCCCCCTTCGGTGGAGCAATAACCCCAAAACTCGATCCCAGCCTTTCCTTTGTAGTATGGAACCTTGTAGTACAATTTCAGAGAGATCCATACACTTAAACACAAGTTATTGTCTGGAAACTAGAAAAATGCTTGTTTTGGGCCCTTTTTTGGGCCCTTATTCCTACATATTTGGGCAATTAACCCCAAACTCAATCCTAGCCTTCCCTTTGTGATATGGAACCTTGTGGTACAATGTCAGAGAGATCCATACACTTACAAGTTATTGTCTGGAAACTAGAAAAATGCTTGTTTTTGGCCCCATAACCCCTAAAATAGATCCCAACCTTCTACTTGTGGTATTAAACATTGTCGTACAATTTCAGAGCAATAGAAATACTTATACACAAGTTATTATCCTGAAACTAGAAAAATGCTTGTTTTGGGCCCTTAATTCCTAAACGGTTGGGACCATCATCCCCAAAATCAATCCCAACCTTCCTTTTGTGGTATTTAACCTTCTTAATAAATTTCATAGAGATCCATTCACTTAACCTAAAGTTATTGTCAGGAAACCAATGTGTCTTCGGGCGACGACGACAACAACACAGACATCATACCATTATACGATCCCAAAATTTTGCGGTCGTATAAAAAAGACCCATGACCCACATTCAATAATTAATCTTCCCTTCCTACCATCCCACATACATTTTAATGGAATAGCCCTAATAAGCATTGTGTATAAGTTTCATAACATTTAGTTGATGCAAACTTAAGTTAGAGAACGGAAACCAATTTTGGGACGTACGTATGTACGTACAGACGGACAAGGGTAAAACTTAATGCCCCCTCCGCTACAGCAGGGGCATTAAAGGATTATAAAATGTCATTTTTCATATCAGACCCTTCATCTGCCCTCGTTTATGATGTCATCCCTGGAGCCTTTCGGCTCTTGGGCTGATATCATGACCTAGGGTGGATAAAGGGTCCGATATGAAAAATGCCATGTAATGATCTATACTTATCACATGGAAACCAATGTGTCTGTAGATGATACCATGCCATGACACTTCAATCAAAATTTATTCTGGTTATGCAAACAAAAATTTCAACAAACCTGTGCAAAATGGGCGTTGTTTGCACTTAAAACTTTCTTTAACTTCTCAGCTTCTTTAAACAATTTTCCCATCGATCTCTCATTAGTGAATACATCTGTTTTCGTCTTTTTCTGTTCATTAAATACTTTGGCCAAATGTTTCCTTAATCTCAATGTTATTTCTGTGCCTCCCAGTCCTCTGTCAAAACTAAAATCAACAAAAAGGGGAGAAAGATATTAATGATGCAGCATTCAAAATTCAACACAATGATAATATATATAAAAGCTTGTAAAAGAACAATACTGGAATTTTATTTGATATTGATAACATTTATTTTGATATTCCTGTAACATCTTCAAAAATTCTGAAACTATAGGATACACCAGACACAACTCTAAATTTTTATTACCAAATTACTGGATTATAAGCCAATCAACAGATACCTTGAATTAAGATACACTAAGGTGTAGAATCCCTAGCATATAAAATATATGATATGCCAAAACACATAATTAACAGCGCCTGGTGATGATTCATGATTGATTAGGTATAGAATCAACTTACCCTACTCCTTTAATAATAAGCTGTGGATTGGATTCCAATCTTGTTCCTTCTTTCACTTTTGTAACTTGGTATCCTGTAAGAAAATAAACCCCAAAATATGTTACCTTTCAAAAAGTTATGGCAACTTTTTTATCATAGGGAGTTCTAAATTGAGGCCAAAAAAAAAGAAAGTACCACCTTTCCTGTTTTTCCAGTCAGAAAAAGGTCATTGAAGTTTACCTCTAAGCTCCTTTAGTTTAATACCAGTTCACCCAAATTAAATGCTCCTATCATATCATATGGCTGATATACATATTGGAAAATTACCATTAACTTTAAAATTAAAATCTATACTTTCATCCCCAGTAATAAACATTAAACATTGTGTAAAAAACATACCCACTATAGTAGCTGTGGTACTAGTAGCTCCCATATCATAAAACATGTAATATTGCACTGTTCCATTGAATTCTTTCCTTCTGAATACACCGTAGTTTAATGCCACTAAAACAGAAACAAATCAAATAAGGCCAACCTTAAAAATATGTTTGTTTGCAGTTTTCCGACTGTACCTTCAGACTGCAGGGTCGGTAGGTAGGAAAAATATTTTATTTTATCAGCCAGAATAAAGTGTAAACAAGCAGTTTAACACAAACCAAGTTTCTTGTGAAGAAAAAACATTTTAAAACAACAAACACTGAAAACCAACATGAAATGAACAGGCATTTTCAGGTAAACACCTTTTTAACCAGAACTGAAACTTAAGATAGTGTCATTATACAATTTATGACATAAAATAATGGTATTATGAAATACTTGAATACTTATAAACAAGGAATGACTAGAATTGTTGTAAAGAAACATATTCATTGACATATATGCATCTTTACTAGAATGTTTTCATGAGTAGAGTATTTGCATCAGAAAAATGTAGATATTAAAGATTCAAAAGACAATTTAGGAGTGTGTTAAAAAAAAAATCAACCATTGAATCTTCCTCAATTGAAAAAGAAGACAAATTAAGAAAAAATATATTAGACATCTTACTGTTATAAAGGTTATATTTGGAAAGATATTTTGATGCCAGGCTTTAATTAAAACAAACAAAAATCTAAGACTAGCTTTGGGTTGAAATCCATAGCACCCCATTAAAAGTAAATGGTCTGTACTGAAATGTTTTGTCTGCATAACAAATTGGCAGCATAGCTCCTAGCTAAGAATTCACACAGGCCACACAGTTTGGGTATATTTAATATTGTAAGAGAGAGAATAATTGCAATGAGTGGGACAGCCCCCCTTATCCTAAAGGATCATACGCATTGCAATCGAAGATAGATTTGATACAGAGAGAATATATTTATTTCTCAAGCCAACCATTCATTTTCTCTACATCTCTGTGTAGTTTGTGTGGCTTCTTATTGATTTAACATTTCAAATGCGTCCTTCCACCGTACAGGCGTGTGTACAAATTACAGGTACCATGAAGTCACGGAGGAGTGGTTTCATCTTTGTCGTCTTCACGACGATTTAAAGAAAATATGGCATACTTCAGGCTGCTGTCGAATTGTTGAACCACTGATATTGGTTCCATAAAGTCAGTCTCAAAAGATTCTGTATCCGATTTGTTTGAGACAGAAACGGTTATCGTGTTGGTTTTATCATCGTCAATGATATCATCGAAGACATCATTCCGTGTGCAATTCTGCCTGAATCAGTATAAACAGTTTACTATGAAACTTTTCTGTGTATTATTTGTCTTAAAATTGAAAGAAGACTCCTCCATGACTTCGTGGATACCTGTAAACAATCTCCATGTGCTTTACCAACAAAGGGTCCAATGAACGCTTGACAGGAAGGGAAGAAAAACCGAACTTCATGTAGGCCAAAGACCACAATTAATGAGACAACGAATATAGTTCCTTTTAATTAGAGTGTATTTTTTCTTAATTTTTTTTCTTTCCCTTCCTCACTCATTTCTTAGATTTTTTTGGATGGAAATGAAAGAAGAGAGGTGAAATAAACTTTTTGATGTTGTATTTTAACTGATTTTGATATGGAAAGAGTGATTAGGCCAGGTGCAAAAAGGTGATATTTACAGTTTTCGGAACATCTCTTGACTTGTCCATAGGGGTATGGATGTGTATTAGCTAAATTTGTAAGATGCTGGGGAGCGATATTTCTGAATGTTTGATATATGTTTGGACTAGTACTGTACTTTACACACACAAAATATTTGACAAAAAGAACCGGTGCATTTTTTTTAATGAAACAAAACGTTATAAAGAACTAATAGAGAATTTTGGTCTGTGGCCTGTAATTAACCTAGACTTGGAATCAATTCCGGAAACGCCCCGAAATTCCGGATCGAGTCAATAGAAGTATTAAAAATAAATTCTTCAAATTAAAAGCAATAAAATGTTCACAGTCGGGCGGATTTTCGAAGGTCGGTCGGTAAACTGCAAACAAACAATATTTTAATTTAAGCCTAATTGAAAAATCACTGTAAAGAATAATATCACATGTAACTATAAATAACTCTGAATGTGCAAAATATTTGACATTGAAAGGCAGGCGAAAAATATGAATGTATACCACAGCAACTCTCATGAACAACACTTGTGAAAAACACTCATGAACAACATTCATGAACATGCATTTTTTTTTTTAATTTAAAAATGAACATTAAATGTTGGAAAACTCGTACTACGGAGACTACTTTGCAAAAATTTGTCCAAAATAAGAGTCAACTTTTAGTTTCGAAAATTAGAAAATAAGGATCTGCATTTTAAATGTTTGTTCATGCTAAATAGAATCGTATTTGCCCTAAGTGAATGATAAGATTAATGATGGTAACATTATTATGTTTGAGTCTCACTAACCAGCAGCATTGTCACTAAGGAGTTGTAAGACATTCAAATCAATCAGTTCAGCTGCTGATAGAATACTTTTCCTTTCAGCTTGTGTAAAATAGGCAGGTACTGTTATCACACAGTCTTTTATAGACTGATCTGCAAAAAAAAATCAAAAACTTTATCAATTACATTAATCAATTCAAATTTATGCTTTATAAAGTCATTGTTCTTAACCAAAATCCTTATTTGTTATATTTTCTAAATTATTTCCAGTACTAACTTCAGATTTGAACCAAATTCAGATTTCACAATATTTGTTATTGTGTTGTCAATGATCTTTCACTGGCCATTCCAATTTTTTAACAACATGGACGCATGAATATTATTTCTGCGGAAGTTTGTAGCAATCCATTGCTAAGAACATTAAAAATTAATTATAGCAAGTGCTAATTTTTTTTTAGCTCTGTTAAATTAAATTACACATTTATTAAGTAAATATAATCTGTAAAAAGTTCACACTAGTGAATTTGAACTACAATTTTTTTCTGTTTTCCGTTTGATAGATTTTTATATTGTATGGAATTAATGAATTTAAATCTTTCACCAGAACATACTCAAAATTCTACTATTTATAGTGGAGGCAGAAAACAATAATTTGCAGTGATAGTTGTAAATGTCTGAGGAATTAACATGGTGTTTCTTTGTTTACTGCCCTGATATAATATATACATTCAGAGGTTATCCACTACACATAGTGGCAGATGGCAACATGTCTCTTTATAAAGTGGAATGCCACTAAAAATATCATAACAGTTTATTTAACAACTTCCACCATATATAGTGGCAAATCCTAAATCCAATATCATGTTTGTACTTGAACCTACTGGATTGTGTTTTGCATGCAGCTGAGCTATTTCAGTCATGTTTATAATGGGAGTATTAAATATATAAGTGTAAATATAGACAAACCATGCTTTGTTAGACCATAAAATTATGTATCAAAACTGTTATAGGAAGATTAATCTGATGCTTATTAATATACAACTACAAAAAAATGATTTACACATCTTGGTGGAAAATGCCTAGATAACTGATATATTTAACATAGATGGAAAATCAGAATGACTAAATGATTGGCATAAATTCATACATATGGTGGCTGGGATTTAAAAAACAATTTCATACCTGTAAATGTTTCTGCATATTCTTTGGCTTTTTCTAACAGCATTGCCAGTAGTTCTTCTGGACTGTAGAAAGTCTCCCTAAAGAATAAAGCAAAAAAAATTGATTCATCAGTGCATTTGAATCTCATTTGTATTCTGAAAGTGTAGACAGACGTTGCAAACTTGTTTTAAATGTCTAATCAACATGAATTTATATAATATATCACTGAATGTTACCACACCTTAACATTATATCTAAACTCTTTTCACCTTGTAAAACATATGATATTTGGTTTCCTTGTTTATGTTTGATGTCGCCAATGCCTTATGATTGACCAACTACCTAACAAGGCAACATTGTACTACAACAATCAATTTGTTAACATGAAAGAGAAAGACAATCAGACTAGCCCAAACTGTTAAAATGGCACCCAATGAAATTTTGATGCTCATGACTAAAGGGTTAGACAATGTCAGGGGATACTCAACATAAACAATTATTTATGATTGTGTTTATCTTAAATATACCAGTTCCACAAAAGCTATAAAAATACTTGTTTCCTCTGTAGAAAATAGATACCAATTCAAGAACAACAAATCTTATACAAAAGGGAGACAACTCATGCTACATGTATGTTATCAGAAAGAATAATTACCAATTAATTTTTTGTGTATTTAAATGTAACTGATTAAAAAATAAATGGTTGTGTATGCTGCTTTATTACAACTGTAAACTAATAAACATAAATGAATGCATGAGAGATGAAGAAAAGTCAATTTATCATTTTAATATAAATCTGACAACTCACTCATCAACTTTAAACAGAACTGTTCCTCTTTCTTCATCCTTGACTAAATCATAATAAGGGAACCTTTCTTTGTAAAGCTTAACATCAGCACTATCAAACTTTCTTCCTACTATATTGGTTAAGTACCAGAAAGCTTTCCTAGGAAACTTCACAGCCTGAAAAATAATGTTTTTATTATCAAAACTATATCACATTTGACTAACACTTTCACCTAGTCATTTCATTTCAGTAAACAGTTCTAGCCAGATATAAGAGGTAATATAAATAAAACTTATACATTTTTTCATTCTATGGATAATCACCACAGAAAAACAGTGGTTTAAAACTTAAGGGATTAGCATAGAATGTGTAGGCTGAACCATGTCGTCTCATCACAAGTAATCAACAATCCCTAATGTGCTTTATTACATGTTAACATTAGACAGGAGGGTCGGAATTAAACATTTAAGTACAGATGTTTTATAAAACATCAGCATGAAACCTTTCTGCCTAGTAATAAACTTAATAAAATTTCAGAGAATCAAATCTCGACATGTACTTTTCTTTTTACTTTTAAGTGACAATTTTCCATTAAATACATATTTGTGATGGTTACTAGCTTCAAATGAATTATGTAAATTAACAGGAATTGAAAACAGCCAATCCTTAAATTTTCACAGTACTACTTCACAGGAATGAAAATAATTTGCTTCAGATTAAGATTTGGACTGAAAAACTATGTTGAATTATTGTCATAGTAGTTATGTTAAAATAAATTATTTGGTATTTTTTCTGCAAATGTTACAAGTCACTTACAGTATTCTCTGCCTCTTTTCCATAAAATCTTTCCCCATTTCTTAGTGCTACTATTGTTGATGTCTTTCTGTCAGATTCCCTTAATAAACAAATTAATTTATTTCTTTAAATGGTTATTATGACATTATTCCATGAAATAAATACTCAGCACTACAAATATAAAATTAAGAAGATGTGATATGATTGCCATTGAGACAACTCTCCACCAGAGACCAAATGACATAGAAGTTAACAACTATAGGTCACTGTAAGGCCTTCAACAATGAACCAGTGTTCCAGCTAGGATTTCAAAAGGGCAGGGTGCCAATCCTGAAAAAGGGCATTTAACGCGTGATATGATAATATGAAAAGGGCATGTTTTAATAAAGATTATAATCAAACATTGTTTGTTCATTGAATGACTGGTTATAAATATACAAGAACAACATCATTAGCCCAGAGAAAAACTATCTTTCTACTTTTTAGGCTGAAAACTTATCAAGCAGCTTGTGACACAAGTTTTAAATCATTGCTTGGCACAGTTAAGCTTTATATACAGTATTTTTTGAAAAATGTCCTGCTTCATTCTGTTTCTATGGTCTGACACACTTTACAAGTTTCACCTTTCTACCTTTTCTGTGCTTAATGGCAATACAGCACAAAACAGCTGTAAATGCACAATGTTAGGATATAGTGAACAGTGAAAATTTGGATTGAAAATAAAAAATACAGAAAAAGATGACCAAGGCACCCTACCAACCCTGCTACTAAGACCCTCTTTAACTTTTCCCATAACTCAAAACACCTAAACATATAAATTCTAAAGCCAGAAGTATGAAGACATATTTTATAATATCTTAGTAGGTTACTCAATGCTAGGAAAAAATAAGATTGAGTTATCTTTCTTTATTTGGGTGTGCTCCTTCTTTGGAGGATAATAAACAGTACATAGAAGATGTAAACACGATCAACAATATGGCGGCCGATTTTGTTATTTTCGTATACAAAATGAAGGCAGTCAATGAAAAATACGTCTTAATTTTCTATTTATTTCACGGAAAACAATAAGAGCAATGTTTTTAATGAGTTGATTATGGTTTTAGACTTTCTGTCAATTACGTTTTCTCCATGAAACTACGGTAAACACTGTTAATTGTGCCCAAGATGTATGAACATCTCTTCAAGTTCAAAGACAAATGCCGACTGACCGATTCTATTTGAATGAATTAATGTTGATGATCATTAAATGACCCATCCGATTAACGGATACCTATAACAACAGATTATGACACCTGTTGTAACCGTTGATTAGCTTGGGGTCGTAAACAAAGTCATATAATTGTCGCCGGGTAAATTTTCGTAATTGGCTGATCATATCAATACGAACAAAATAATATACCAATCGATCTTCAAAAAAGGCAGGGCGCCCTGCAAACTGTAAAAAGGGCACAGGGCGGCACTCGGGAAAGGGCGGGCGGACCGCCCTGTGAAAACGACCTAGCTGGAACACTGATGAACAAACCTGCTTTCTGCATATTCCAACATTAAAAAGTCCAATAAAAGCAAACTATTTGTGTATGTAGAGTCCTCTATTAATTTCCCTCGGTTAACTCAAGAAAGAAGATTAAACATACTTTCAGGTAAAAAAATCTCATCATATATTTTTGAAAAACAACTCTATGTAAAAAAAAAAATAAGATTTAAAGTATGAATGTATATGACCAGGTATATTATATATATATAACACACTTCAACTTACTCATTCAAAACAATTTCCATAGGAACCCCGGGCTGCAAAGAAAAAGAAAAAGTGATATATTTAGTCTAAAAGTACATTTATTTATACCTTAATATATAAATCGCAAAATTCACTCAACAACTTGTAATGTTAAGCAAAGTGAGCCATACTTCATGTAGTTGTACTAGTGACTAGGAGTAATACAATATAATTTTAAAAACAGGTGTTAAATTGCTAAAGGTGATCAATCATCGCTTTCATCTTGTACAATTTTTTCATGGTTTTCAATCAAAAGTTTTTTTTTTATAAAGACATTATTGACATTTTAGTGACAGTAAATCAAACAGTGTTTGGTACAGTAAAGGCTAAATCATTATATTACCTCCAGTAAAACTATGCTTGCTTAAAAATGATCGCAGTGAGTTTAAAAAAGCACGAAAATATAATAGACTTATAAAATAAAACTTTTTTTAGAATACAGCAAACAAAGGTGTTTTACTCCTGAAAAGTAAGATTTTCACACAGCATAACATAAAATGATTGACCAAATATTTAAAGATTCAATACAAGTAAAGTGTATCAAGGAAAATTACCTTTAGTAACTATAGCTATCAAAACAAGAGTACTAAGAACAATTTACCTTAACAATAGCTATTTTCATATATTCACTGCCCAAGTCAATGGACATCACAGCATTAAATCCAACTGAAAAACAAAATAGGACATTTAACCAATGTACAATTATGAATATCACTGCAATATGTTATTTATTATTTGATTTAAACAATGTTTATTTGAGTTTGTCAGTCAACTTAATATTATTTACTGTATTTGCTATACATTTAGTAAACCCATCATAGTACATAAAGATAGTACAATCATGGACCCTTGTTGTTTCATTTTAAGTCATTTTGTAAGTCAGGATTATATGCTTAATACAGTAGAAGAGGCTGCTCAACAACCCCAGCATTTGAAGATTTATCCATTTCTATAGAAATAAGGAAGTATGGTCATGACATAAAATAACTTGTGACTTGTGATTGACATCTTTCCATCAGAGACCAAATGACTTAGTATATAAAATTATGATTGATCATTAAAACAATTTTTTTAAGCACTTTTTAAAGAATTTGTATCTTACAGAATAACTAAAAAAAAATTTTTTCTTTTAGGCTGAGCAAAAAGTAGTTACTCAATTGTGACAATATAGGTCTTGGTAACAAACCCAATATGTGGATTTTACAGCAATATAATTGATTTGATTTGATTAGGTCTTTTCTAATTCATTCTTGCACTTAATCCTTGTTTTCTAATGAATACATTACCTGTATACGAAGCCATACATATCAACAGTGACACAGCTATCAATAGCTTTAGTGCCATTTTTTTTCTGAAATAAAAAAAAAAATATCAGAATTTGCATGCAGTTGTCATTACCATTCCTCTGATTATTTTTCTCAAACAATAAGATACATGTTTAAATCACTGTGGTTTTCCAACATTGAGGAAAATCATTGTACCCTTTTAAGTTTCAACATAATTATTTGAACAAGGAGAGTAGCTGACACTTATGTTATAGGATGATACCATTTCCTGCAAATGAATGTGAATATGATGGCATGTATTCAGATAATAAGAATCAAATCCATAACCAATATAAATTATCTTCTGGTGCTAAAAGACATGTACAGCACCTACCTTTTAAAATAGATATTTATGACATCTGCTGATGGTATTTTTCTATTTTTATCTTATAAATCCCTTATAATTTGACACGAACTAAGGAAGGCGTCAAAGCAAAAAGTTAGAATAGCCTTCCAAGGAGTCACAAGTATTTGGACTATCCGATATATATGTCTGCTGTACTTGGAAGTTTAACAGCTGATCACACGTGTTTTGACTTACTGACAATGGTTTGATAGATATGAACTAAACTGATTTTTTGCAGGGATTGTATGTAAGTAAATAAACCTTACCAATCCTTTTTCTTGAAACTTTTACAATGCTTCTTTCAAAGAGTCGTGTTTGAATACTAGAAAATTATGTGGACCGGCGACCTGGCGACACGCGATTGGAGAAATTAAAATCCGAAAATGCGCAGATAGTTAATACACGTAAACTTCCGGGATGTCTAATCTACGTTCTATAACGGTCTGACATCGAACTAATTACGAACCATTATTTACTTATTTACATTTATTACGACAAAGTGAAATGGACCTTTCGCATTAGTTCAAGGTCACAGAAGTTTTTTTTTATCAGGTTCTGCCTGATTAGCTCCTGAAGTTATTGGTATCAGCTCAGTATTTCGGTACTGAAATAATTTATAACATACCTTTTATATATTGTCCCTTTTATAAATTATACTATTTGTTTGGATTTCAAACTAAGGTTCCAACTCACGTTCCGACTCCCTCAGGCAAAGTTGACCTTAGAAGGATTTGGCTATTATTTCGAGGTCCCTTTTGGTCTTATAGCTCTTCACGTGTTTCGGTTCTTATACGTACAACACTAGTTGGCTTTCATGGAAATACTGATTTCAACTCCGGGCTTTGAGACGCGCTCGACGACGTTGAGTCCATAAACAAAAGCGCTTTTAGCGCATACATTTTTTAAAGTGTTATTTTCATTTTTTATTTTATGAAGAAATATAGTATTTGATAAGACACGAAGGACAAAGAAACGGGGATAGGTCACTCAGTCACATTTTTCAGCTTGAAAATATGTGAATAGGTGGGGAAAACTATCAGAAATATATGATAAGTAAAATTGAGAATGGAAATGGGGAATATGTCAAAGAAACAACAACCCGACCAAAGAGCAGACAACAGCCGAAGGCCACCAATGGGGTTTCAATGCAGCGAGAAAATCCCGCACCCGGAGGTGGTCCTCAGCTGGCCCCTAAATAAAATTGTGTGCTAGTTCAGTGAAAATGGACGTCACACTAAACTCCAAAACATATAAATGAACTAAATTAAAAAAAAACATACTAGACTAACAAAGGCCAGAGGCTCCTGACTTTGGACAGGCACAAAAATGCGGCGGGGTTAAACATGTTTTGTGAGATCTCAACCCTCCCCCTATACTTCTAGCCAATGTAGAATAAAGAAACACATAGCAATACGCTCTAAGTGCTCTATTGCAGCAGATGATTTCAAGACCTGATTTACCAAAATTCCATTCAATTAGTTCACAAAGTTTATTTTTAACCAAATTATGTGAAAACAGTTATGTAAAAGTTATACAATTTACTATTACCTAGAAAAATCATAACGGACAGCAAATTTAATAGCTTAATAAATACATTTAAATTTTTCTTTAAACTTCACTTGAAATCATCGGAGTTTTGTTATACTAGCGATCCAAAAACCTTTGACGGTTGTATTTTGATAAACTTTATTGCAATATTGAATAATAAGATTTGAATGGTAGTAATATAAAAGTAAGGAGATGTGGTATGATTTCCAATGAGACAACTATCCACCAACTTTCAAACGAAGTGGATGTAATCAATTATAGGCAATCGTACGGTCTTCAACAATGAGAAAAACTATAGCGTATAGTCGCAAGTACATATAGTTATATAAAGACAGAAAATTTAGTAGTATATTATATCCGCTCGAAGCTTGCACAAAGCAGTTTATATAAGCTAGGATCCAGTACATATGGACAATATAATTTAGCATAAATGGTTGAATATGTTCAATTTCATCCAAGTAGTTTTCCTATAATGTATTTTTATATCTAAAATATGCTATAAATTAAAAAAAAAAAACATTGTTGATAAAATTGTAAATTATGAAAAGTACTAGACTAAGTACATATAGTTTTAGATGATATTAATTTTGGCATATTAAATAAAAACAAAAATAAAAACAAAAGCCAACCAATAAACGATACTTGTGATATTTTTGATTTAGATTATCTTGTGAACAAAACCCAACATTTTTTAAGAAAGATCGTGTTCCATCATTAGTTGATGTTATTTTAACTAACAAAAAATCATCATGTTTCAATACTATGAATATTCCGGTTGGCATCAGTGAGTGTCATAATTTGATATCAACGACTATAAAGGGTCGCTTACCATCTTTACAAAATAGTGAAATCATTTATAGAAGCTATTATTTTGATATAGATAGTTATAAATATGATGTCAGTAAAATTGGGATTCATAAAAACCGAATGGGTTGAGAGTGCTGAGTAAGTAACTAATATCTATCTGAAATATGAAGCTATGAAGAAGATTTTATTAATGTTTTGAATAAACACGCACCACAAAAATCTCGAAGCAAGAAGAAACATCCTTTTACATGCATGAATGGTAAATTGAGGAAGGCTATATATAGAAAACATATGCTGTATTCTAAGTTTACAAAAAAAAAGAAATGATAAAAATTTGAATAAATGGTTATAAATACAGGCAGCAAAGAAAGTTAGTTAATAAAAAAAAAAACATTCAATGAAATTTTTTTTTAGAACGCTGCTTTGGTGAGACAAAAAATGCACACTTTTAGAAGACTGTCAAACATTTTTTTTTCAAAGAAGTCTAAAACTGGGGATCAAACATTTGTTTTATGTGATGAAAGCAGAATCATGAATAATTCTGTAGAAGTTTTAAATATGTTTAATGATTTGTTTGTTTCTGTTGCTGAGAAGATAGGAAATGATGTACAATACAGCCCCTTAAGTCATCTTATTATGTTAGAGACAAAGAAAAATATTAGATGATGAGACACCAGATTCAAACTTCCATTTTCAAACAGTGACGTCGGATAAAATTGAAAAAAAATGTGAATAAGATAAACATTAAAAGGGCAGCGGGTGCAGACGTCATACAAGCGAAAATTGTCAGAGAGAGTAAATCTGAGATTGTACCTCAGCCGACAACAGTATCACTATTTTGCGGGCTTCGGGTTGCGGGTTGCGGGCTTCTCTTTTTCATTAAATTACAAAGTTACATAAAAATCTAAATACTAATTTTCCTTTACAGGTTAAAAGTGTAAGGTGTATGATACGCCTGTCGCTTTTTCAATGAATAAAGTTCCATAACTTCTCAATGTCATATCAGAAAATTATTAACCTGAAGGGAGGTTATTTCAATAGATATAAACCAGTCAACAAAGTTTCATGAAAACTGCTCAAAGCATTCTTGAGTTATTGTCCGAAAACTGGATTCCACCCCCCCCCCCTTTTTAATGAATAAAACCACATCACTCGGAAATGTAAAATCTAAAATTTATATAAATCGTAAGGGAACTTACGTCAATAGATAATAAACAATTCGCCAAACTTTCATGCAAATTGGTTAAAGAAAAAGGGAAAGAAATTAAAAAACTATCAAATTTTGTTAAAAATAATTGAAAGAATATTAAAAGAAGACTTTTGTCCAGATGATGAAAATAAAAAAAAGAAGTATTTCTTGGTTTTTTTTGTTGTTAAATTATCACAAATTTAAAAAAAAAACAACATTATTTTATTTTGTTTTAAACCTTTATTTGTTTCTCCAGTTTATTAAGACATATTGACTGACCATAACAATGAACCATTACAATAGTGAATTTTGAACTTAAAAAAATTGTATCTGACAATATATATATATATATATAAAATATATATAAAATATACAATATATATATATTTGGAAAATGTTGTTTGTGCTGTATTTAGACCCCTCTACCAAGAAATTTGTTTTACATGCACACGTATAAAAATTGCGGTTTTTATCCAACGCAATCATATAGGTTTGAACGTTGTTTTCAATTTAGATTTGTTATATATAAACAAATCTAAATTGAAAACAACGTTAAAACCTATGATTGCGTTGGATAAAAACCGCAATTTTTATACGTGTGCATGCAAAACAAATTTCTTACTAGAGTCTATCCGTAACAACGGATGTTCTTAAACCCTGCTGACTGCCATTGGCGATTGCAATTATATATAATTGTAAACATAACTATTGACTTATGCGATAACTTTTCTTTTCTTTCTTGTAAAGATACTTTGTATTCACTTGGCAGTTGCTATGGCTTCTCTTATATTAATATGACCTATGTTGACCTTAACTCCGCAGTTCCCAATGCGCAATCGCAAGTTGTCCCTCGAAGGGAAAATGTCGAACAGAGGAATGTTATCGCGGAAATGGAACGTGTGTTTACAGTTTCTGCGAGAAAAAGAAACAATAAAGAGGTGCAGACAAGTTATTGTAAATTGAAAATAAATAACGGCGATGAGATCGGTCATTAGAATCATTTACAAACACCTGTCACGCAGATAAAGTCATTATATGAGAAAAACATTTCTGAACTTTTCGAATACAGATCACATGAAAATAAATCGCGACGTGTTCAAATCATTATTGTCCAAAATATCTTTATAAATTTAAGAGCAGTGATCTCACAACTTAGAAGACATTAAAAATCAACTACTTACAATTTAATATTATTCTTCCGGTGTACCCTGCATGAAGGCCCCAATTCAATCCACAAACACGTGTATACGTTATCGGCATTGTTTTGTCATACATTTGTTATAGAGGAGGCATGCTGTCAAAAATAGTATAATACTTAATATTAATAATCTTTATTTTTTTTTTCAATGCTACATTTTTGTATTGTTTAATGTCTATCGTTTTGTCATTAATATGCCTGTCTGTCTGTCTGTCTGTCTGTCTGTCTGTTTGTTTGTTTGTTTGTTTGTTTGTTTTGTATTGGTTTGTTTATTTAGTAACAATCCTATTGTTTGGATTTTAAACTAATAAAATTCTTATTCTTTATTCTTACAAATATAAAACAAGTGTATAATATCGCCATTGTTGGAGAACCTTGGGTTCGAATAATATGCAGGCATTTGGTATATTTTGTTGCTTACATAATTTGATAAATGGTTTCAAATATGTACGTTTAATCTAAAGAAATTGTCAAATACGTAAGAAAACAAAAGCACATGTTCATATTTATTTATATCTTGGTAGAGATGTGTCGGCAAAGTTCGGGAAGTAAACCCGATGCATAATTAATGAGATGAAAAGGCACGCTACACGATATTAATTATCAATTATTAACACTTCTGTACTTTATA